CCTTCCATGTCAGGTTCACTTTGAAGTGGGAAGGTAGATCAGACTATGTCAAGCCATAAAACGTGGAAAATGCTTACTCTATTCATAATCCAAAAGGTAAATATTGTACATGTATTTATATGTACATAGTGTTGTTGTTGTTGTTGTGTGCCGTCGAGTCGGCCCCGACTCATAGCGACCCCTCCTTGGGTTTCCTAGGCAGTATCACTAGGGAATTAGATTGCCCCATCTTCCTTTCGAGGAGTGGCTGGTGGGTTTGAACTGCCAGCTTTCTGGTTAGCAGTCAAGTGCCTGAGCCACTATGCTACCAGAGCTCCTTATATGTACATATAGCCCTGTGTAAACGGTACTACAAGCTTCCGTTAAGTGTTTTGCAAGCATATAACATCATGTAAACAGTACTAGGAAAACTGGATTGGTTAACTGATGTTAAACCAATGATGGCATGTAGGAGCCCAGTGTTGATACTAGGAGCCCACTATTGATACTACTCACTTTGCACTCTTTGTTCAGAATCGCTGGCTAAATTTGGAAGAAACCGGCATGATTACACAGTTCACTGAGAAGATAATTAAATCCCTTGTATCCTCTTCGTTTCATTACACTGGTTACTCCTCTGGAGTGTTTCCTTTATGAACCAGAGGCAAGATCCTCTGCTTGGAACTGTGACAGAGCACACCATGGCTTAGAAGGGGGCCAGCAGCTCTCCACTACAGAACGTTCAAGCAATTTCAGTGACTTAGTCTAGTCTCATAGACTAGACCTAGGAATAAGGGGTTCAGGTTGTGGAAGGTGCTCTGTAGCCAGATGAAGGTAAAATGTTAAAAATGGGAACATTCAATTCTATGAGAGACCTTGCCAATTTCAGTGGAAATGAACATTCAAAATTTATGGAAGGAGGGAGAGAGGTTTTAAAATCCAGAATCATATTAGTTTGTAAAATAAATAGTGAACATGATTATGTTTTAGCAACGTAAACTCATGTCTATTTATATATTCTATATGTTCAGTATATTATTTCTTATTCTGATCTTATGAGCTGATATCTGATATAAAATATGCTGTGGTAGAAACTTTTCTACATATAACTCAATATTGTTATAAAGCCTATAGAAGACAAAACATTTACTATTTAAAATCCCATTGATCTTTGAGTCACAGAGGCTAAGATTTGGAAAAAGTTCTAGTAGGAAGAATGACAACTAAGAGAAGCTCATAGACTTATTCTCCAACACAAAGGATCAAGGCAAACACCTAGGAAACCTTAAGAAGCATTTTAGAGATAGTACGCACCTTTGTCTGCCTACTTTTGAGTCATATCTATATCTATTTATAGACACATACACATATACATATCTACATATACACATATGTACATATATATACACATACGTGTATGTGTGTGTGTGTTGTTGCTGTTAGGTGTCATCGAGTCATCTCTGATTCACAGCGACCCCATGCACAGCAGAACGAAACACCATCCAATCCGACACCAGCTCCGCGACCGCTGCTATACTTGAGCCCATCGCAGCAGCCACTGTGTCAATCAATCTTGTCAAGGCCCTTCCCATCTTTTGTCGACCCTCCACCTTACCAAGCATGACATCCTTTTCCAGGGAATGGTCCCTTCTGACAACATGACCAAAGTAGGTGAGATGAAGTCTGGCCATTCTTGCTTCCAAGGAGCATTTCAGCTGTACCTCCTCCAGGACAGATTTGTTAGCTCTTTTTATCAGTCCACAGTACTTTCAGTATTCTTCACCAGCACCACATCTTAAAAGCATCAGTTCTTCTTTGGTCTTTCTTATTCATTGTCCAGCTCTCACATGCATATGAAGCAATTGAAAATATCATGGCTTGTGTCAGGTGCACCTTAGTCCTCAAGGAGATACCTTTGCTCCTCAGTACTTGAAAGTCCTTTGTGTGTGGTGTGTGTGTATACATATACATACATACACACACACATACGTGTATTAATGACATAGGAGACAAAGGGGGGAAAAATGTTCCTGAACCCTTCTTCACTATGAGGACGCTGGAGCACAGGATCCGGTATTGTAAGAGACAAACCTAGTCAGATTCATGAATCTTGATACTTTTTCTTGAATTTTGTTTTGGAGGAACTGAGGTCATTTCACATAAGTTTCACAATAAAGAGATATCAAAGGCAGAAATTCTGAGCTGCCTTCTAGTTTTGGGACACTCCCGTAGGATAAAGAATATTATCAGAAATAGATGGCAACAAAACAAAACAAAACAAAACACCTCAGGTCTTATCCATAGAGGTGCCAGAAGTTCCATTTGTTTCTACTTGGTAGCCACACAGCAATATTGTGTACTAGCTCCAACTGTCTTAAAGATTTTACTACCAAACTCAATGGCAGGTACATTAAGATATGAGTCAAGACACAATGAAAGCAGGCATGTGGCACTTGGCTCTCTCATGGTTAACTTTGGGACAGCAAGCAAAAGAGAATCCCATGGATCACATCAATTCAACAATCATTTTTTGATACCCACCTATCTCCCAGATACTAGGGATTATGCAGGTTAACTTTAATAGCAACTCCACATGTCATTTGCAAGGTTGCTATGAGATCTATTATGTGTTCAGCTTGACCATAAGATGATTTCCAACAGGGCCTATTACTCTGTAATGTTCTCTCAATATTCAGTCCCATTTCTTCAGTGATAAATCTCATGCATTTGTGAGACATTTGACTAGAATTAGGGGAACACCCTGGAGGTATGGATGACAGCATTAGACAGCCCCAATCCTCCATGGGGCTTGAGCCCAAGACCAAAACTGCATTAACGATACGAATTAATTAACTATGATAACTCTCTTATGATTTACTACTTCACATTGGACCTTTGGATATAGACATTATTTACTAATGCCAGAACCTAGGCCCTGAATCTTTTGGAGAATATACTTGCATTGCTGGAGGAATGACAGGGAAGGGAGAAGAAAAGCCATTTAATTGTATTTGCTGTTGAAAGTTTTTGACACCTACTTCCCTGTAGTGCTTTTCAAATTTGTAATTTCCTTCAAGTTCTAGCTCAATGTCACTTCTCTGTGATGCCCTTTCTCACTCTCTCCAAAAGAATTCAATTCCTCCTTCTGCTTTGACCCTGACTAGTTAAGCAGTATTTTAACTCTTTACCTATGCCTCCTGTACTGTTCCAGGGCATGGATCATACCTTAACTTCTACATTATGTCTACTATGGTATCTGCCTCAAAGTGAGTGCTTCAGAAATGGTCAGAATGTACATCATTTATATGATATATATGTATTTAGAGGAGCTCTGGTGGTGCCGTGGTTAAGGCATTTGATTGCTAACCAAAAGGTCTGTAGTTCAAACTCACCAGCTGCTCTGTAGAAGAAAGGTGAGGCCATCTGCTTCTGTAAAGATTTACAGCCATGGAAACCCTATGAGGGTCACCATGAGTCAGAATCGACTCGATGGCAGTGAGTTTGGTTTTTCATTTCATATGAGTCTTGGTGGTGCAGTGGTAAGCATTTGCCTGGTAACCAAAAGGTTGGTGGTTCAAACCCACCAGTGGCTCCATGGTAGAAAGATAAGGCAATCTGCTTCCATAAAGATCACAACTAAAAAAAGAATCTAAACCCATTGCCATCAAGTCAACACCCTATAGGACAGAGTAGAACTGCCCTGTATGGCTTCCAAGGTTGTAATCTTTAGGGAAGCAGGCTATTATCAGGGAAGCCTTCACCTGCTATGCCACTGGGGCTCCTCCTAAAGATGCTAGCTATGGAAACCCTATGGGGCAGTTTTGCTCTATCCTATAGGGTTACAACAAGTCAGAATCACCTCGACACACAGTAATAACAGCATTTGTATTTATTCTTTATGTTCCTAAATAGGTTGTAGGTTCAAGCTACAGTCCATGTCTCTACATCTGACAGCGCCCTTACAAAGCCTGAAGTACTGCTTGAGAAGCAAGCTTGATTTGCCTGGGGATTTGTAAAAATAGCTGTATAGTCAAAGATTACATTTTTGAGCACAGATAAATTAGTTTTCTTTTTCTGAGAAAAAAAAGTTAAAATCAAACTCAAAGTCATCTTTTGTTTTAAACCAGATGCACATTTAGAGCTATAATTTTATATTCCAGAGTCATCCAGTGGCAAAGCAAATAACTCAACAGAACTGTTTGAGAAGATTAGGCTATATTCTTTCTCTTTCCTTTACTCATATTCATGCTTCCTGTGATCCTTCTACCCATAGACTTTATTGGGCTTCCATTTTTAATAGAAATTAATCTCCATCCAAATTCATTTGTATGAGGGGATGGAAAGCCCTAATAAATTGTCTGAACTCTTTTTTTCTACTACAACTTATTTTTATAATTCACAGAACATGTGTATATATTCACAGTTCTGTCTTTCAAAGGGAATCCAATTCTCAGCTGAAACCTTCAGCTCCAACTTCACAATATAATGTCATTTTGTCTTATGCTATAGGTAGCATAGTGCCTAAGGCACTTGACTGCTAATCAGAAGGTTGGTGGTTCAAACCCACTGGCCACTCCTCGGAAGGAAGATGGGGCAATCTACTTCTGTAGTGATACTGCCTCGGAAACCCAAGGAGGGGTTGCTATGAGTCGGGTCCGACTTGACAGCAAATAACAACAACAACAACATACCAGAACACAACCTATCAACTCCTGAAGAAAATCAGGATGGGTGATTTTCAAACAGATTTCAGTATAAGAGACACATGAAACAAAGACAACTCCTATTTAGAATGAGAATAAATTTAAATTATGACATGAGTGCAGACATATAATTTTTTCATGATATAAAACAAGAGAATTCATAAAACCTTTGTCTTTATAATAAATCTCAGAGCACTGGATACTTTCTGAATGAGAGTGTGTGTGGATATGCCACAAAAAACACAATCTGTTGGTACTCCTAGTTCCTTCTGGCAACTTGTCTCATCTGTATGGTCATGATGTAAAAAAAGACAGTACCTTTAGTAGCAGCTCTATAACTTCTGTGTGGACGAGTCCATGCACTGGTTCTCCATTGATGTGTGTGATCAGATCCCCGGCCTTCAGGCCCGCCTGGCATGCTGGACTTCCTTCTTCTACATTCTAAAGTTCAGAGGAGAATATATATTTGCAAGCAAACAAATGATGATCCTACCACCTCCTATTTCTACTATTTATTCTGAGTTAATTAGCAAATGATCCGAAGCTCTTAATGGGAAATCAAAATGGGATAATCTCTATTTTCTTGTTCTGTCATTCTTCTAAAATAGGGTAAGGCGTATATTCTTAAAAAAAAAAAAAAAAAAAAAAAAAATTCAGGTGAATTGAGAAGGTGGTTTTTGAAAAGAAGGGCAGGTAAAGAACTAAGAAAAAGAGAATGAAAGAAGGATAGAAATAGGACTGTCTTGACTATTTCTACTGGGTTGAAACAGAAGAGTAGACAATCAAGTATGAAAACCTGATAGAAATACGAGGAAGGATAATTTTTGCCAAATTTAATTCTACCATATACATAAAGGGAAAGAGCACTAAAGATGAACATTAAACAGGTGCCAAATGCTGCTTAATAGAAGTACACTCGATGTTAACTATGTTTCAGCTAGTATATCCATTCTCCAGTTTGGCTGGAAATGAAAAGAACAAGCATGAGAGACTGTTGGTCTTACCCAAACAATATGGTGCACTGTGTAGATGTCACTGTCTCCCACATACACCCGGATGGCTCTGATGGTGAAACCATAGTTCTTCCCTGAACTGTGGATCACAATGGGCTGATGTGGACTGGCAGACGCTCCTGAAGAATCTCGGCTGGGAGAGGAATCTCGTGAGGAAGAAGGGTCTGAGGACAGGGAATGGGGAGACATCGGACTTCCCAGTGGAGAAACAGCAAACATATCTGCAACGAAGAAGCCTGCCGTCAAAGCTGACCTTGGGCCCACAGACATTCATGCAGTCAGCCCTTACCACAAAAGCCCTGCCAGGATTGGGAGCATGATCACAGAGCAAATCCATTCATTTCCCATCGCCAAATCAGGAAGAAATAATACAAAAGTGTTTATATTTATTGGTAATTAGCAGGGACTTTAAAACAGAAGATTGTCAGGGAAGCTTTAAAAGTGTTTCTATTTTAACTAATTTCCAATTAATGGTCTAAAGTTATAATTTTTTAGTTCTCTATATTAATTACAAGACACAAGGACTAGCTACTTTCTGGCTGTGTTATCTTTAATTAATATATCTTACCTTAATTAAAGAAATGTCATGGACACATTTATCTCAAGACATCCTCACACAGAGAGGACTATATGGAGTCTATGAAAGATACTCAGACTCTAAATCTTCTCCTTAACAACTTTAACATGGTCCTTTCCAAACATACAAGGCCAGGAAAGGAACTTTATCAATTTACCTAGCTACTTTTTACAATGTTAAACCAAAAAAACCAAACTCACTGCTGTCGAGCCGGATCTGACTCACAGTGACCCCTCCTTGGGTTTCTGAGGTGGTATCACTATGGAAGTAGATTGCCCAATCTTCCTTCGGAGGAGCGGCTGGTGGCTTTGAACTGCCAGCCTTCTGGTTAGCAGTCAAGTGCCTTAGGCAATACGCCACCAGAGCTCCTTTTTACAATGTTAAGAAGCTATTATTGATTAGAGACTTTTGATTAAAACAAAACAAAATGAAACACTGAAATGGTGACTTCTTAGGTTACTCCTTATTACTATATGATTGTCTTTGTATATTACCTGAACTTCTAATAACAAGGTTTTTGAGAAGATAATGCAGGTGAGGGAAATAAAGAAATTTGAAGAGAAACTCAGCTCATATTCAAAACACTAATTCTGCTATCTGCTTTCCTTGTCTCATAAGCAAGCACACTTTCAGTTGTAGTTTATATCAATATTGCATCTATGTGAATCTAAACAGATTTTAACTGGCCATTAAAATAGTCTCTGTGTGTGTGTTGTGTGTGTATGAGAAAGACAGAATAATCTATGAAAATGCTGAGGTTTAAATGTGAGCTCAGAGCCAGCCTACAAACTGCCCAGTACTACTGAGCACTCACCAGGGTGTGGCAAATTCCACAGGGTGTGGCAAGCTCAAAGTTACTTTGGCCACAATAAACCAAAGGGATCCCTCCTACCTTTTGTCCAACTCTTGTCTTTGTCCAAATGGAACAAAATTAAATGTGTCACCACCCATGCACCTTTGCTCTCTGACTTCGTGGAACATCCTGGTAATTTTTTGTTGACTATCTTCTGTCTATTCAAAAGGCCTGCTGAAGAGCAGGAGCCTGGTAGGCAGGGAAGTTCCACCATGCAAGTGGGAGGAGGACAGTATGGACACATAGATCCAAGTCCCCACAAGTTTACCATGATGGTCTCTCTCATCCCCACAAGTTCAGTAATTTTCCTACTTTACCCAAATGTGGGCTTTTTCACCAGTTTTTAAAAGTAGCCCAGATTATTTCAAACTTACCTTCCCCACTGTGCAGCTGCATTGGGGACAATCACCTTCAGATTATAAGTAGTTATTCAAATTGGGAACTAGGTGCTTGCTTTATGGCATTAAATGGGATGCCCCCTAGAAAACTGGACCTGCTAGAGCAAACACTACCCACAAAAAAGCACTTGTTTAGGTCAAATTTCCTTCTGCAAAAATAGGAAATCAGAAAATGTAAACAATCTCTTTTATATTTGGTCTGCATTCCAGATACAGGCCTCTGCAGTACCATTCAATTCCCACGCTACTCCCTTGCTCTCATTTGAGTGATAAATCACAACCACCAGGGTATGTATTTTCTCCTCGACAGTGAAATTACTACAGACTTAGTGAACAGTAGAGGCAAAACCAGGTTGTGGAAAAATACTGCAATTCAACAAAACCATAATTACACCCAGTTTTCTAGCACAGGGCAGAAAAGGATTTGACTACCAGTAGGCGGAGGCATAGCTCAACAGACAGGGTTGGGAAACCATAATCTCAGGGTTGTCTCTGACTTTGTGCATCCCCAGAAATGAAAAGCTTATATTACCACTAATTAGGAGAGAAAAAATTGTACTTTGCTTTCTTATAGATGCTGTAAACAGCTCTGCAAACTAGATACACGCTGCATTGCCTAGGTCAGAACAATTATTCCGAGGAGGGAAATTTATCACTAACCTTGGAGGAAAAGAAAAGGAAAGAAAGCAAAAGAAGTAAGTCTTGTGGAAAGGAAGGCTCTCTCATCTCCTGATGAAGAAAGAAAGGAGATATAGCTGCACATGCTCTTTGGGAAGTGGGAGGTTCTGCAGGGAGAACTCCAGACTGCCCGCAGAAGCTCCAGAGCTGGGCTGGGGTGCTACCCACTGCTGCATCAAGCACTCTCAATCAGCATTCCAGTCTGGGGTGGGGTGGGGGACCACATGCACAAATCACACAGTTTCATGCGAGTTGATGTCTCTCTACCTCCTGGGATCATGAGGGACAGGGCACTGGCAGAAAGGGACTTTGTGACTTTCCCCGACATTTTCTTTTTTTCTGTGCTTTCTAATCGCTGTCGAGCCATGTGGGAAGCGGGTTCACTGGAGGGCTTTGAGGAATTATCTGTACTGTCCACACACTCGCCGCGTCCATTTATCTGATCCAAGTGCTCTGAAAAACTGCCAACTGTACAAAGAAGAAGGGATAAACATGTTCAGGAAAACCACGGACAGGAGAGGTGGGGAGAGGGGAAGAGAACAAGAAGGAAAGACAAAAGCTGGGAAGCACTCTCATGTGATTAGTCAGTCCATGTGGTGTCAGGGAACATCAAAAACACAGGGGTGGTTGGAGGAAGGTGACATGACAGAGGAAGAAATCAAAGAGGTGTTCATTCAGCTTTTCTTTGAATCAGCAACTCCAATCCAAAACTCCACTTCAATCCTTTCATATATGAGTTGTTAGTTGCTAAATGTTGCCTGGTCCTGCGCCCTCTTTGTTATTAATGATATGCTTGGGTCCATTTTTGTTGTCACTGAGTATTCTGAGTGCCTTCCAACGTAGGGGGCTCAACTTTCAGCACTATAAAAACCCACTGCCATTAAGTGGGATCTGACTCATAGCGACCCCTCCTTGGGTTTTCGAGGCAGTATCACTACAGAAGTAGATTGCCCAACCTTCCTTCTGAGAAGTGGCTGGTGGGTTTGAATCGCCAGCCTTCTGGTTAGCAGTCAAATGCCTTAGGCACTACACCACCAGAGCTCCCTTCAGCACCATTATCTGACAGTCAGTATTCTATTGCGATTCATAGGGTTGCCATTGGCTAATTTTTTTTAAGAAGTAGATCACCAGGCCTTTCTTCCTAGTCTGTCTTAGCTCAGAAGCTCCACTGAAACCTGTCCACTGGGGGTGACCCTACTGATATTTGAAATACCAGTGGCATAGCTTTCAGAATCATAGAAGCTTGCAAGTCACTACAATACAACAAACTGACACATGGATATGGTCACAGAAAAGAACCAAGAATAATTACTTTCTAGAATCTGTATCCTACAACTGTAGTAGAGAAAACTCTTTTCACCACACCATGAAAGGCTCTGCAAGGAACCAAAGATTCCTTTATGATCCTAAGAGCACCACTTTATACTATGATTATCATCATGACTCAGTGTTGTTAAAGATAAGTCTTGACACATGGACAGCATTTAATCTTCTATGTAGGCTAACATCTCCTACCATCTTCCCAGGGCAAGGCTCCTCATACAAAGTTCAGGTACAGAGCTTACAGAAAAGTACCAAGAATGTCTCCTTTTACTTCTCACATTATATGCCACCTTTTCCTCTAAGGCCCTTATAAATTTAATAAGAAAAGACAAGGGATATTATGTAATATGTTACTCAGCAGCTCATTCATCTTCCTGGCTTTTAATCTGGATTTTAATCTACTGCTTCTCTCTGTTATCATTCTCAGATGTCCCAAGTTATAGGACTTGGGATTATCCCTTCCCTACTAAGCCATACTTTCTTTATTTTTAACTGCATTCACCTTTAATATAAACTGGAGTTATTTTTTTAATGAAAAATTTAGGACTCCCCTCAACAGTAGACCATTAAAGAGTATACCCATGAAGGAGAAGGTAGAAACGAAAAAATCACTGATGTTGGTCTTGTGGCTCTAAAGGCCAAGAGCGAAGAAAGTTCCCAAGCAGGAGCATTATGGTGAGCCCCCTACAGAAAAGCTAAGTCTGAGCAGCCACCCTTGTGTCCCCCCTACTCTTTCTTTTACAGGCTGTTTGTTTTCTTTCTTTTTAGCCATTGATAACAAATCTCTTTCTATCCAGGGAAAAACAATGCTAATATCGTATTTTACTTCTCTATATGCTACACTGTAAGCCTCTTGTGCTTTAAAACTTACCAACTCTATCATCTTCTGAAGATACAAAATTCATGCAGAGAATTTAATACCATTATAAATGATCTTCTAAAACACCACTCAACACTTTTTAAAAGGCTGATCTTATGACAATCTTTGCCAAGGAAGAGCTAGGCTTAATTTGACTTAACCAACATTTGCTATGTATACCACTCAGAGGAATGGTTGAAGCTCAGCTGTACTTCACATGAGGTGGTACAGATCCTACACATCTGTCCCAGTGTCAGGGACACCTGGGACTTAGGAGAACAGACCTGAACACAGCAAATTTCATGGTCATCTACTGAGCTGTGTGAGAGGTAAAGACTCATGACCTTGCACATGACATAAAAGCAACCAGTAACCAAAGGCAGAAGAAAATCTGAAATATCAACATTCCTTTAACTCATATATGCCATACTCCATTTTACTTAACAGTATACCTATTCCAACTCATTCTAAGCAAAGAAATCAACTGTTGCGGGACTACTCAATCTTGATTAAAAAAAAACTGCTTCACACAAAAAAAATCTCATCTCAAAAGATATGAGGCTACTTTTAGAAAAGTTATACGCTTAACAATATAAGTAGTCTCTGACTTAGGACAAATTTGAGATATGACTAATTGCATTTACAATAGTCTGGTTTTATTATTTTTGATGCAAATTATTGTCAGTAATGTATACTACCTAGGAGCTCTGGTGGCATAGTGCCTAAGGCATTTGGCTACTAACCAAACCCACCAGCCATTCCTTGGAAGGAAGATTGGGCGATCTACTTCCGTAGCGATACTGCCTCAGAAACTCGAGGAGGGGTCACTGTAAGTTGGGTCCGACTCGACGGCAATGAAAATTTTTATGTACTGCCTACGATGCAAATCGTGTGATTTGCTGTTGTTATCATTCTCAGATGAAATGATTCCAATCCCAAAAAACAAATAAAGATCAGATTGATAATCTGATAATACAAGGCAATAATAATGAAAGCTAAGAAAAAAATGAGGTATTCAATTTCTGTCAGAACCGACTTACACTGGAGCAGTCACCAGAACAGAACCCCATCATAAGTTGGGGCTGCCTACACCACGCTTCTTTTTTCTCCTTTTCCATTTGGTTGGAATGAAATCATGGACAAGTATAACATGAAAAGCTGAATCTCCTCACACTGAGTAAATCTTTGGATACATTTGAGCACTACACCTAAGATTTTAGGACTTGTACTTTTGAACAGAACACAGTTATGAAAAAAGAGAAGGAAGCATAAAGTTGCACTTCCCTAAATGCCAGAGTGTGAATATAATCTTCTTCTTCCTCATGCCTTCCCCTCTGGTCTCTGTCATCTCGTTTCATAGCACTGTATATGCATGTGTGCTTCTTTTCTGCCAGTGGTGGATAATGTCACCTTAATGTTCCCTAAATGTCAAGGGTTCCTTCTTCTTGATGGTGGAGTGATATAAAAATCAACAAATTTAATTTTACTACAGTCACGGTTTTCAGATTCCCTAATTAACCGGGGCTATGAGTGAATCAGTTCATCTCTCTATTCTATACAACCCCCAAGGTCTTTGATTATGTTTAGTGTGTGTATGGGGGACAGAGAGAAAGGTGGGTTGAATCTATTAATCAAAATGCATGCCAGGGCCTAGGCAGAATTTTTTTTAATTATGAAAATAATCAATCAAATGCTTTGAGACTGTTCCCCTCCCTTTACCTCCTGCCTTTCTGATAGTGTGTGGGCTTAAGAGACTAAGGCATAGTGAACAACTTATCAGATATAGAAGAAATTTTAAATGGCAGTAAATACATTCTATTCAATGTTATACAATAGCTAAGAAACAGGTAGAGACCATCCTGACTAGGAATATAAAATACTAAGATATCTACATTTGATTTGAGGACCAAGATAAAATAGAAATGGTCCAGAATCTTAGACTAATTGATTATATTCCCTTTATAGAGATAGAGCCAAGAGAAGTGAAATTATCCAACATGGAAGGAGAACTGAGATGAATAGAGAATGGAAAATCCAATATTATTTTTCCCCATGATAAACTATAAGCACAAGTAAAGCTGCATAGAACTAAATATTTCAGTGAGGCTAACATAAATCCAGCCTGAAAAAGTTCTTCTCTTTAAATGATTAAAAAAAAAAAAAAAAAGCTTATGTCATGAATACTCAGTAAAAAATTGTTCATAAAAATCTTGGACTCACTCATGGTTATAAATATAGCATAGTGAATAGTGTTTAATGAAAACATTTGTTGTAGCAATCTTAAGCCATATCCATGTTTTTTTTTTTTTTAGAAAAGGGCATAAATGTGCTTTGCTCTGTAAAAGGATATGCTGGACATAAGGCTTTTATAAACAAAATGATATTTTAAATGCATTTAAAAGGCTTGCTCTGAGGGAAGTGCAAGTTTGGCTCCCTAGTGAAGATACCAAGTGTCCCTGACACATTAAATTTTAGAAACCTGTGAAGATACTGGTCCTATTGTCAGGGAGGTAATTTCCCACAAAAGAAACATTATAAAATGCTTCCAAAGAAAAGGCCAAGATCCTTGCCAAGACTGCCTCCCAAACAGGAAAGATGTCTCAAGAGTCTCTCACTCCACTTACTCACAGACTGGCAGGGTAATTTTGATTTGTAGTAGTGTTGGTTCATATGTAGATAAAATATCAGTTGAAATCTTGTTAACATTTGTGACCACCTATCTAATACATTCAGAAAGTGTGCACCCTAGATGCACTGGTAAGCACTTGTAACACACAGCATAAGCTCCTTGCTGCACTCAGTGTGAGTCTAGTGTGGAAAGATAAGTTACTTGGCACAACATGGCCCTCTAATTGAAGCCAACTACTTCAAAGAAACAATCATCCACTTCAATAACTGGTTTATACAGTATCTTAAGGGTGATTCAAGAAATTCCCAAGGATAGTTATGAGAGCTAGACTATTTTACTATGTATATTATCTATCCCCTTACTCCTACAACTTGGGAGTTAGATGCAACTCCCTAAGGCCTGCCTTCGCATCAACATCTGAGAACATGCTCTGTTGGCATGTTCTACTGCTATCAAAAGACCTCGTTGAAATCTAACTGCAAAAGTTAAGGGTGGCTCTGAGGTCAAATTGAAGTGCTGTATGGCCAAGCAATAAAGAGGAGTCTGAGACACTGGATCTTAGTTATTAAGAGATTATTCCCCAAGGCCAAGAACTGGGGCCACAGGGGGAGCCTAGTAGTATAAACTACCCACCATCACCACCTGGCATAGGCCAGCCCTGGGACTCAGAGCATGAGGTGTCACTTCTCAACATGGACAGTGTGGACAGCAGGCCACACTCTAAGCAGCTTACCTGACAGGGTAGAGCTGCTGATGGTGCTGGCTGGGGTAGTGACCTCGGGCTCCTCCTGAGCACACTCTTCAGCAGGAAGGACTGGCTTTTCCGGCTCCTCATGGGGGTCTTTGGGGCTGGGCACAGCTTCATCTTGTTCTCCCTCTGATGAAATAGCCAGTTTGGGAAGCAAGCCAGAACTGAGTTTATGTTTGTTGCTTTCAGTATCTGAAGAGTTGGATGTGGATAACTGTTGCCTTAATTAAAAATAAAAACAAAGTCAAAAATCTACACTAGGAAACTGTGTTAAATATGGATCTTGGAGGAAGCAACTAGGTGAAAAATGGGACTTGGATAAGCCTAATCAAGATACATATAAAACAGTGCTTCTCAAAGTGCGGCCCCCAGACCAGTGGCATTAGCATCACCTCAGAACTTATTAGAAACATAGGTTCCCAGGCACCACCTCAGATCTATGAGATCAGAAATTTCAGGGTGGGTCCAGTAATCCATATTTTAACAAGCCTTCCAGGTAATTCTGATGCTACCTAACTTTGAGAACCACTCTGGTAGCATAGTGCCTAAGGCACTTGACTGATAACCAGAAGGATGGCGGGTCAAACCCACTAGCCACTCCTCGCAAGGAAGGCTAGGCAATCTACTTCTGCAGAGATACTGCCTCGGAAACCCAAGGAGGTATGAGTTGGGGCTGAATTGACGGCACATAACAACAACAACGTTCTAATAGCTACTGCTTACAGTAAAGAGTCACAGCCTCAGAAACCCAAAGGGGGTTGCTGTGAATCAGAATTGACTTGATGGCAGTGGGTTTGGTTTTGGCTTTTATGGTATAACTTAACAGGCATTTCACATACATTTCAGAATATTCTGAACTCCAGCTTAATGTTTCCGTGGATGGCAAAGTGGTGCTTTTGGCTTTGTCTCCAGAGTCCTCCTTCTCTTCTCCTGAATTCTGAGTTATTCGATCTATACTGCTGAAAACCTGGAAGGCAAATAATCAGTGTGTATTAATACATTCTTGAAACAGTTTGTCAGAAGGAAAACTCTTTGGAGAAAAACCTGAAAGCATTACTGAAGTATGAATTGAGACCATGCATGCAGAAAGTGCTTTCTAATACTGTTTACTTGAATCTTGAGAGGAAGGGTCAACAGATAATTTTTTGGAGTGGTAGCTGTGAATTCATCACCCTCTCTCACCATACTACACTATGGACTTTGTACCTGCAAACAAATCTATAGTTGCACTGGGGTTTCTATGTCAGGGGAATCAATGTATATCTTAGATTACTTTTTAACCATAAAGTCAATCAGAAAAAGAAAATCACAGAGAGAAAGATTTAATGGCCACCAGTCAGGGGTGGGAAGGAGAAAAATGAATTGGAATTGACTGCAAAGAGAAGAATAAATTACCTGTTTCAAGACTTAGGAAGGAAAATGTAGTACATATATGGTCACGGAAAGCCAATTATTTGGCTTGGTTTACAAATCACATACACAGACAGAAAGCTGCTTCATTTGCTAGTACTGGGATCCCTGAAGGGGATCAGAGCTTAGGCAAACCAGAGGTCTCAGTTGACCTCTGGATTCCTGTTGTCCCACAGGAATAAGCGAAGGTAAAACAGGGTTGGGTAGTATTGGAAGCACTCCCCACTGCCCTACTCAGACACACATGGGAATGGCCTTTAAACCCAAAAACCTGTTGCTGATGAGTTGATTCCGAATCATAGTGACCCTTCAGGACAGAGTAGAACTGGCCCATAGTTTCCAAGGCTGTAATCTTTATGGAAGCAGACTGCCACATCTTTCTCCCACAGAGCAGCTGCTGGGTTTGAACCACTGACTTTCAGTTAGCAGCCAAGTGCTTAAGCACTGTGCCACCAGGGTTATGATGAGCTGGAATAGACTTGGTGGCAAATGACAACAATAACACAATCTACCTGGATTGTGGACCTGGATTGGAAACCTGGATTCTAGGAAAGGTGTCTAAATAATAGGAGTCACAGGTAAAATGATTTGCCACCCAAAGACGAAGGAGGAAATAGTGCTTAGGGGACAGCTTTGATGGGTCAGACAGAGGTGCTGGTCTAAGCCCCACATTCAATGTCATCCACACTTCTGTTTTGGCTCCAGGATAGACTCACCACCATCTCCTTCAGGGAAATCTCTACCTCTCTATGCAGTTCCTATAAACAGGGATGGTAATGCTGATCAATTCTGCAGGTACGTTCTAGGTAACCATTTTGAAAAAACCTACTGAACACCTTCAAGTCACTAAATGCTAGAGAAAAGCTAAATAGTAATCATGCAAAATGCCACGGCAACAGAAAATAACAAAGGGAGGTAGGCTGCCCTCTAGGCTGATTGCCAGTATGCTAGGGCCATGCCCTGTCTCAGAACTATCAGGGTTTTTTTTTTTGTTTGTTTCTTTGTATGTTTGTTTGTAACCTTACCATTATCGGTGAAAAAGTGTCTTTCTCAAGCAACAATTTTATTATCCTCTACTGTTTGCAAAATTCTAGCTTGGCTTCCCACTGCCTCTTTAATAATTTAAACAATAATTTCTATTACTGGTTACAAGTAATAGATTTTATTACTGGTTTTCTCATTCCACATTCAACTGTCCCCAAGCACCTTTGCTTATGTCAAGGACTAAGCCTTCTCCTTTGTTATATTTTATGTAATACCTATTAGAGGGCTCTACACACACAGGAAGTCCACATTATTAATTAAAAGATGAAGGAAATGATGGAATGCTTCCAGAGCCTGGCACTGAGCCAGAAAGAGGAGCATGCAAGGCACAGCATCTGTAAATGGCTATCACATATTCCGAAGATGTAGCCATGAGTGCAAGTCTGTATCTTCAAGAAAAAAGACTGCAATTTGTGGAGAGTGAAACCAAGATATACACATCCTCAGGGGTTTAAGGACTCTTGCTGGATTTTCAAGACTATAGAGTCACTTTTCCTAAAACTGAAAAGCCTTTTAAGAATAGAAGACCCCAATGCCCCAAAAGCATATATGGCTTTGATGATTCTATCCAATTGTTTAGAGGTAATGACTAACTGGCCAGCGGGAGATTATCCCAGAGAGACTACATGTTTATGCCAGATTTCACTTACTTTTGAAAACCTATGCGAACATGAGGAAAACTGCCGTATTTCCACAGTAAAGTCTTCATCATTTGTGTCATCTTCTTCCTCGGTTTCCATATGGTGATACTTCTCTGACCGAGCTGCAGAGAAATGTTTGGGAACACATCCAATTACTCAGAGTTTCAGCTGTTAATGTTGATATTTTAAGTATGAGTTTCTATCGCAAATCAACATTATGTGTAAGAACTCATAGGTTTATAGATCTTACAGGTTCTAGATTGAAAGGTTCTATGAAAAGCATAGGTAACGTTCTACCTACAAAGTAACTATTGAACATTGTTTGATGTCAGATAATACACATACTATCAAAATAACTTGTGTCATCCTCGGACTCCAGTTGTGGAATGAATTCTGCCTTCTGTCTCAGCAAACCATTCCAGTCTAAGGATCGGAAGAACCGATGCTGCTTGACTTCATAAGCACCACCTTGGGGAGCATAAGGGGAAATTATTAAACTATCATCTAGGCAAAGATAAACACCAATTTTTAAGAACTCTCCCAAGATTTTCAGCATGTAAATACAGAAATCACACAAATCTCATTTTTTTTTATCCTACAACCAAGGTCAAATTTTTTCCCCCATAATTTACCAGGAAGAAAGCCTATTTTGCTAAGCACAGTTGCTACGGCCCGCTTTTTCTTTGTTAATTTTTCCATGAGTTCCTCTATTTTTCAAAGGTTAATTATGTGGCCACTTAAAATCACATTATGCTGAACCTGGGGATGTGGACGCATGTTGACTCAATGCAGACTCACTCACTGCAAACCCAAAGAAATTCTAACAAGGTGCAAAATGTGTTCATTGCAGTATTTCCTCTGGAGGTAAGGTTAATCACAATAAATTTCTCCTATTGTATGATTACCACTCATTTTTATTAGATTTCTTATAAAAAACAGACAAACCTGAAAATCAATCACAATCCCTAAGTTTTAGGTTCCTTTTTGCCAAGTCAGCATGACAGCACAATTGGGTGGAACAATGAAAAAACATCTATACCTTGATGGGCTGTGGAGGAAAGACCTGGTAATTTGCTTCCTAAAGGTCACAACCTTGAAAACCCTACAAAGTCATCCCACTTGGATGCACATGGGTCATCATGAATCAGAATTAACATAATACTAGTTGGTAGGTACTTGACTGCTAACCAGAAGACTGGTGGTTCAAACCCACCAGCTACTCCTCGGAAGGAAGATAGGGCAATCTATTTCTGCAGTGATACTGCCTCGGCAACCCAAGGAGGGGTCGCTATGAGTGGGGTCCGACTCGACAGCGCATAACAACAACAATAAGCTGGTATTCAGTGTTTTGTTCATTGCGATTTTAAAAGGACAGGCCACAGCAAAAATATTAACACTATACCCCATGTAAAGAGAAGAAGGCACACATGCTATCAAATCACAGGGGGAGAATCGGGCCACCAGCACACATACTACTGATGAGGGAAATAACAAAGAATCAATCCTGCAAAAACACCAGGAGGAGATTTCTCATAGGACCCTTCTGAAGGTCTAATCTTGCTCCTGGAAGATTCTCCTCTAGGTGTAATGTAAATGACTCTTGATTGCAGTTGTCACCATGCCTTTCATTCTGTCCTCTGTGGGGTACAAAGGGAACAGGATGAAAAATGCAAGCTGAATGGAAAATGGGCTGTGAGGCTTGGTTGAGGGAGAGCTGTGTGTGTGGTCCAAAGAGATGCAGTGAAGGTTCTGTGCTCCTCAGGCCTCTCTAGCACAAGGCACAGCCTCTGCTCTACCTCCAAGGCCAGGCAGAGGAATCTGGTGCTCTAAAAACAATGGAGCAGAAAGAAAAGGGCCAAGTGGGGAAATCATTCATCAAGGCATTTGATTAGAATCCTTGTCCTTGTCCAGGATGCTATCCAGGCATTTTCCATGTTTACAGCATATTATTGAAGTCTGATGTTAAAACTAACCACAATAGCATCACCAGCTATGACTGAGGGCAAATTTTGTAACAAGTATTGCACTAAGTGTTAGAGGTATTTTGTTTTCTTTAAATAAATCATTGAAAATGTCTTCACGAAATAGGCTTTATCAATTCCACTTCTGGATAGGGAAACTAAGCATGTGAAAAATAGTCCTCTGGAACAAGGTCACTCAGAAAGGAAGGATTCTAGGGTTTGCATCTAGGCCTGTTAAAAAAAAAAACAACCAGGCACATCCTCAGTGTCATCGTCATTAGGTGCCATGAAGTGAAATCCAATTAATAGCAACCCTACGGACAACAGAACAAAACACCGCCTGGTCCTTTGCCATCCTCAGAATTGTTGCTAAGCTGGAGCCTACTGTTGCACCCACCGTGTCAATCCATCTTATTGAGGGTCTTTTCCTTCTTTGCTGACCCTCTACTTTACCAAGCATGATGTCCTTCTCCAGGGACTGGTCCCTCCTGACAACATGTCAAACTACATGATACAAAGTCTTGCTATCCTTGCCTCTAAGAAGCATTCTGGCTGTATGCCTTCTAAGACAGATTAGTTCATTCATACGGCAGTCCATGATATATTAAATATTTTCTGCTAACACTATAATTCAAAGGCATCAATTCTTCTTCAATCTTCCTTATTCATTGCCCAGCTTTCACATGCATATGAGGCTACTGAAAATACCATGGTTTGGGTCAGTTGCATCACTGTCTTCAAGGTGACATCTTTGCTTTTTAACACTTTAAAGAGGTCTTTTGCAGCAGATTTGTCCAATGCAATATGTCGTTTGATTTCCTGACTGCTGCTTCCATGGGTGTTGATCGTGGATCTAAGTAAAATGAAATCCTTGACAACTTTAATTTTTTTTCTGTTAAACATGATGATGCTTATTGGACTGTTATGAAGATTTCTGTTTTCTTTACATTGAGTTGTAATCCATACTGAAGCCTGTAGTCTTATCTTCATCAGTAAGTGCCTTAAGTCTTCTTCAGTTTCAGCACAGAATGTGTGTTATCTGTATATCACAGGTTGTTGATAAGTCTTCCTTCAATCTTCATGCCACATTCTTCTTCACATAAGTCCAGCTTCTCAGACTGTCTGCACACAGATAGGATACAGCTGTATCCTTTCCAGATTTTAAACCAAACATTATCCCTTTGTCTGTTCAAATGACTCCCTCTTTCTCTGTGCATGGGTTCTGTATGCACCAAGTTAAGTGTTCTGGAAGTCCCAGTTTTTGCAATGTTATCAATAATTTGTTATGATCCACATAGTCAGATGCCTTTGTATAGTCAATAAAACACAGGTAAACATCTCTGGTATTCTCTGCTTTCAGCCAAGATCTATCTGATACTAGCAATGATATCCCTCATTCTACATCCTCTTTTGAATCTAGCTTGAGTTTTTGTAATTCCCTGTTGATGTAGTGTTGCAATTGTTTTTGAATTATCTTCAGCAAAATTTTATTTTTTTTCAATAACATACATGGTGATATACACATAGACCTAACAGGATGGAATACTTCAGGTATTTGCACATTTCATTATAATACTTTGCTTCATCTCCTCATGTCAGCTTTTTAATCCTCTGTTCAACTCTTTAATTTCATCATTTCTTCTACTCACTTTATCTACTCTATGTTCAAGAGCAAGTTTCAGCATCTCTTCTGACATCCACTTTTGTCTTTGCTTGTTTTTTTAATGACTTTTTGCTCTCTTTAAGTGTGATGTCCTTGATGTTATCCCACACCTCTTCTGGTCTCAATATTCAGCCATTCGTGTTCAATGTGTCAATTTTTTTCCTCACGTGGTCTCTAAATTCAGATGGGATATACTTAAGATCATATGTTGGTCCTTGTGGAATTGTTTTAATGTTTTTCAACTTCAACTTGAACTTGCATTTGAGCAATTAATCATCTTTTCTGCAGTTGGCCCCTGGCCTTGTTCTGATTGATGATATTGAGCTTCTACATCATCTCCTTCCATAGAAGTTGTTGACGTGATTACTGTGTATTCTACACAGCAAGGTCCAAGAGTATAGTTGCCATTTATGTTTTTGAAAAAAGAAATTTGCAATGAGTAAATCTTTGTCTTGCAAAATTCTGTCATGTGGTCTCTGATGGCATTTTTATCACCATGACCATATTTTCCAAGCACCGATCCTTCTTCTTTGTTTCCAACTTTCACATTCCAATCACTAGTACCAATGTATCTTGACTGCATGTTTGATCAATTTCAGACTGCAGAAGATGGTAAAAATCTTCAGTTTCTTCATCTTTGGTGTGTAGATTTGAGTAACAGTCATTAATTAGTTTTCCTTGTAGGCGTGTGAATATTATCTCATCACTGACAGTGATGTACTTCAGAATAGATCTGGAAATGTTCTTTTTGATAATGAATGTGATGCTGTTTCTCTTTGTCATTCCTGGTATAAACCAAAACAAACCAAACTCACTGCCAACGAGTTGGATCCAATTCATAGCGACCCTTCCTTGGGTTTCTGAGCAGTATCACTATGGTAACAGATTGCCCAACCTTCCTTCTGAGGACTGGCTGATGGGTTTGAACCACCAGTCTTCTGGTTAACAGTCAAATGCCTTAGGCACTATGCCACCAGAGAGACCATATATGGTTGTCCCTACCAAAATGGTCAATACCAGTCCATTTCAGCTCACTAATGCCTAGGATATCAAATTTCATATTGCATTCCATTTTGTTTTGACCACTTTTAATTTTCCTAGAGTCATACTTCATATTACTTCAATTATTAAGGGATATTTGCAGCTGTTTCTTTTCATTTTAACATTTGCCACATGAGCAAATGAAGACCCTAGAAACTTTATTCCATCCACATTATTAAGGTCATCTCTACTTTGAGGGGGCAGCTCTTCCTCCTTGGTATTTTGAGTGTCCTCCACCCCGAGGGACTCATCTTCCATCACTATATAGGACAATGCTCCACTGCTATTCATAAGGTTTTCAGTGATCAATTTTTTATGAAGTACCAGGTCCTTCTTTCTAGTCTGTCTTAGTCTGAAAGTCCACTGAAACCTGTTTGTCATGAGTGACCCTGCTGGTATTTGAAATACAGGTAGCACAGCTTCCAGCATCACAGTAATATGCAAGCCATGATAGTACGACAAATTGACAGATGAGTTTGTTGTTGTTATTGTTGTTATGTGCCGTCGAGTCAAACCCGACTCATAGCGACCCCTCCTTGGGTTTCCGAGGCAGTATCACTACGGAAGTAGGATTGCCCAACCTTCCTTCCGAGGAGTGGCTGGTGGGTTTGAACCGCCAGCCGTCTGGTTAGCAGGTAAGTGTCTTAGCCACTATGCTACCAGAGCTCCCTGACAGATGAGTAGTGGTGACAAAATATATGTCATATGAGGAGGCAGTACTTTTTAATTTGTATACTGCTCTGCCATCTTTCTTACATTAATTTGCAGATTGATTCACAACTGCCAATATTAGGAAAGTAAATGTAACATTGATTTCTGCTGTTGTGCTCATAGCACCTCTACATGGCCTGCTTCCAGCCCACCATGCATCCTGGTTCTTATCTTGCCCTGACCAATGTGCCCATCACAGCTGTCAGTGTCATTTTCTTCTTGTGCCCTTTTCACTGGAGATGCAGAACATGAAGCTAAAAAGACTTAAGTGTTTATTTTACTCCCTCACCATGCTTACAACACTCAGGTCCAAACAGTCAAGCCCTAATTAGTGACCCACACACATCTCTGGTCTCTTAGTCCAGTGATGGATCCACAATGACTGATATTTCAGCTGCTGTTCATGGGATCACCTCAAATGACACAGCTCTGACCTCTGGTATTGCTCAACTTGACCCAGAAAAGCTCAGTTTCTCTAAGGCCAAGAGCTCAAATGGCACTTCCAGGCTATATCCAGTGTCAGGAGTTTTACTCCCCTGCCTACCACCCCTTGGGACTTTAGTTGGTGACAGTATTTTGCTTCATCTCTGTGGACAATGACAAATGGGTCCTCCCCAAGGAGTCATAGCCCATTGCTAGCTCAACTCACATTTCTCTTCCTTTGGCCTCTGTACCCCACTGAGAAGAGACTGGTTATCACTGAGCCCTATTTCTCATGCACTTTTAGAGAGATGTAGAAGGAAAGAATCAAAAGGACAAACAGGAAAAATTATCTCTGGACTAAACTCTTTGTAAATACAAACAATGGCATTGTGAGTCAAATACGAGTCTAGCAATAGAAATCTTACAAATGAGAGCTCTCATTGTAAAAATGAAGGGAAGAGAGGAAACAGAAATTGATATTTCTTGAGCTTCTGCTATGTTATGGGCCAACATACTAGATGCCTTCATGAATATTTTTATATCTACTCATCACAACAACCATGTGACATGTGTATAACATGATTATATTCATAGTGTAGGCGTTAACAGATTTTTGGAACTGTGTCCTCAAAAAAGTTATGTTGAAGTCCTAACCCCTGTACCTGTGAATGTGACCTTGCTTTGGCAAATAGTCTTTTTTAAAAAGATATTATCAGTTAAGTCATATCAAAATAGGGTGGTCTATAGTCGTAATCTCTTCTGAGTGGTGTCTTATATAAGAGGAAAACAGATACTGAGAGTCATACATTGGGGGATGAGATGTACAGATACCAATGCAAGTCAAGGAATGCCAGAAGCTGGAAGATACCAGAAAGGGTGTTTCCCTAGAGAGGACAGAGAGAGGGCATGCATGGCAAGGGCTCCCAGCTGGTACAAGGGTGGTATTCACATTTGAGCACCTCTCAAGCCCAGTGTGCCAGGCTGCCACACAATACTCTGAAAGTTCAAAAGTATAGTTCAAGGACAAGTTTACAAGTTTTGCTTTGGCACTGTCACTCTCTACTAGTTTTTCTCTCCTTTCATGGAAGTTTCTTAAACATCCATTATGTTCTTCACACCCCTTTTCTCAGCTTTTCTAGTCTCTCGGGCAAATGTGCATTTGCACATTTTCACGGTGCATTATTTTGCCTGCTAAACATGCATGAAGTAAAAAAAATACTGTCAATGGAAGCAGCATAGCAGGCCTGCAGAATTCTCAGCCACATTCCTGGACCCTAGTGGGACCTGTCACATTGGACCTGCCTGTTTGGCAAGTACTTCTTGACAATGCTAAGAGGTTTGGCAGGCTCCTTTCAATGTCTCTTTTGGGATTCTCCTAAGAGATTAGTTCCTCAAACTGCCAAATCCTGAAATGACCAAAAGTAGCAGTCAAGGAGAAAATGTGCAGAGAAATAACTTGCAGCATATGATACGTGGATACATGGAGGTGCTGCCCATCATCATAGCCTTGTCTTGTTATATCAAGTCAAGTCAAGAGTCCAAGTATCTGAAGGAGGACCACACAGGCAGAATATTAACTGTAAAAATCCTCCAAACTGACATGTGAACAGTGAAGGGGAGCAGACTTTTGAGTCTCCTTTAGAAGAAGTGAGTCCGATCGAATGTATTTCCAGTCACACCATCACTCACCACCATCGAATTGATTCTAACTCATCGTGACCGCCACTGGATTCCAAGGCTGTAAATCTTTATGGAAGCTGACTGCCTCATCTTTCTTCCACAGAATGGTTAGTGGATTGAAATCACCAACCTTTTGGTTAGCAGTCAAATGCCTTAACCATTTTACCACCAGTCACACCACAGGACAACATTTTTCTGGGATAGTTTAATAGGAAGTATAAATGGATATTTGTATTATTTCTGGATATGCATAAATGCCATTGATTCCTATACTTGGCTCAAGTAAATAAAAATCACTTCTCAAAACTCTGCCCTTGACACAAATTCTTTGACAGTTACATGTATTTCCTGAACCATAAAACAAATCTGACTGTAGGCCACAGAAGGTAGAGAATAATAAGTTTGCTAGTCACTTCAGACAAGTGGAAAACCAAACAGTGGGAAGAAATATACAGTACTCTGTTGAAAGAGTTCAATTAGCGCAAAGGTATGGGCACAACCATTTCTGTATTTCCTGCGTTCAAAAGGGAAAGCATATTAAACATGCAGCGAATTAAAAATGATACTACCAGCAGCAGCAATGCTAGGCTTTACATGGATTATTTCATTTTCTCTTCATAATAATCTTCTTAGGAAGTACTACAAGCTCCATTCCACAGATGTAAAAGTAAGGCACAGAAAGGGAAGTAATTTTCCCATAGTGGTACAGCTGAGATTTAAAATCAGGCAATCTGACTCCTGAGATTGTGCTCTGAACCTCAATTTTATAATGGTTTTCAGAGTTAAAGATCCACTCATCCATAGAAAAAGGCAAAAAGGCACATTCTACTCTAGTAAGAGGATCAACTCAATTAAGTTTTCCCAGGTGAGCATTGATCTTAAGCCTTCTTAAGTTTCTAAAGCAGCGTTGGGAAAATTCTTCTGTAAGGGGTCAGCTAGTCAGTATTTCAAATTTTGTAAGCCATATAGTCTGTTGTGACTACTCAACCACTGTAGCATGAAAGCAGCTATAGGCAATATGTAAAAGCATAAACATTTGTTGTGTTTCAATAAAACTTTAAAAATAGGCAGTGGGTTGGATTTGGCCTAGTGCCAGCCTAAGGCATTTGACTGCTAACCAGAAGGTTGGGGGTTCAAACCCACCAGCCATTCCTCGGAAGGAAGGTTGGGCAATCTACTTCCATAGCGATACTGCCTTGGAAACCCAAGGAGGGGTAGCTATGAGTTGGATCCAACTTGACAGCAGTGAGAGTAGTTTCCTGACACTTGCTTTAATGCAGCATCATAAACTCATTATACATACAGCATTCTATAGCTAAGCAAGAGCAGTCACCTCCAAAAGAGGAGAACATATGATAAACACTTAGACCTGCTGCTATTGCTAATGGGTTTTTTGGTGGGGGGAAAAATGAGGAAAGAATTATTTCTTTAATATTTTCTGACATTTCCATTAAAGTGGGAAATAGATTAGAGTAAACAAGTCTGTTAAGGAATCAAAAACACTGATGAAAATCATGAACACCACAACCTACATGATCCACAGGGTTTTCAGTGACCGACTTCTCAGAGACAGATTGTCAAGCTTTACTTCCAAAGCACTAGTAGGTGGACTTCTTGAATGTCCTACCTTTTGGTTAGCAGCTGAGCATGGAACTGTTCATACTACCAGGGGACATCTGATGGACACTGGCTAGAGCATATATATGTGTTTGTGTGTGTTTATCTTTAATATTTAAGTCTCATTTAGATAAATTTACATCCTGAACAGAGTAGGACTCTAGAGGGCAATATGTCTGTCTGTCCATTCAGAACATGATGAATAAAACAAAGAAGAGAGGCAGACACAACAAAACTGGTAACAGAATCATCAGGAAGAACAGTCAGCAAGAAACAAATTTACTATCTCCTTAATTTTGAAAGGCAGTGGTTTTTAGTTTTACTTTCCTGGACCATGATTCTGATCACTATGGTAGGGCAGCAGCGTTCAGCCCCAAGCACTCATTTCTAGTAATCAGTTTGAGACTGATAACACATTTCAATGCCTTTGAGTAGTAACTTGCTGGGTCAAGTCCTTACAGGAATACATACACACACACATACACACACACACAGATTTCCATTCATGTTTCAAATTATTTAAGATGCATACTTCTTCTCAGAACAGAAGATTTACATGTACTCTTGAGGTTTTCCTCTAGAGGAGTTTTATTTATTGAAAAAAATTAAGAATAGCTTCTTCTTTGGAAAAAAAAAAAAATCCAAAATATTATTGCTATAATATGTTGTAGTCATGTTCTACATCAATTAACAGATGTTCCCTATGCAAAAACAAGACACAAATGAAAGCCTTAGCACTCTTCACATAGATGTTATGCTTGTGTACTGGCAAACTTAAAACACTTGTGCTCTAACCTGTCCCCAGCCTCTCCAGAGGATTCTGCCTGAGCAGCATAGTAATCAGCTCCTGGGCATTGGGTGGTGGAGCCTCATCCTTTTCAGGCCAGTTGATCTCATCTGGAAGGAAGAAAACTAGTTTATAACGTTATTGCTCAAAAGGTGATCCACTTCCCAACAGCATCACCATCACCTGGGAGCCTGGTAGAAATGCACGATTTCAGGCCTCACCCCACAGCCACTGAATCATAATCAGCATTCCACAAACTCTCCTATGCAGTCCAGTTTGAGAAACACTTTTATTTGACATGAGTAGCAAAACTTTCAATAAGGTCGGGAGAGAACTTTCAGTAATTAGTATTTAAATTTTATCTGCTTCTTAATTCGATATTTTTAGGGGGCAGGAGGGAGCACAATTGCTCCCAACAAGTTGCTCTTGTAGCTATTAAGAGTACTTAATATAACAGTGACTCTAAGCACCTGTGTTTTAGTTGGACTCTCTTCCAAATATCATCTAAGAGTATTATTTTATCACCTACTATGCTCAGCTGAAAATTAGGACAGGACACAGTCTTAGGAATACTTCACTCCAAGAAGCAAACAATAATTTTGTAAAAACAAGTATTTCCAAAGACAAAGCGTAGGATGAAATGCTAAGACTGAAGAAGAAAAATATTCAAAGTGATCACTGTAATGGAAGTATTTAAAATCTGTCATAAATATTAGAATATGTTCTACATTCTAAAAGTTTGCCTGAAGATAGGTGTGCACGCTTGTGGGCATGGAAATGCAATAAAACATGAGTTATTTCTGTGTGTGCCTGCCTCTAGCTTCCTCTGCTGCAGTTTAAATCTGATTTGGAAAATAAAACATGAATATGCATTGGAGCCGTAAGGCATCGAGAACAAAGCCAGCATTTGCTGCTTGTGTTAATTAAACAGTTGATTCCCTTTGCCATTCAGGCCCTGGTGTATCAGAAAACAGCCCAGTTATAAATCCATAAACAGCTCAGATATTGTATAAAGGGTTATGCACTGCAGGCAACTCGCAAATCTACTTCGTTAAAGTTTACAGATATGCCTGGCTTGCAAAATCAGTGATAGAAAATAATGTTGTGATTCTGAATTTCTCACATGCAAATATTTCCCCTATTTTCACTGTTGGACCATGTAAGTACAGTCCAGCAGTCCAGAATAGACCAGAAGTAGTTGATGGATAAGTCAGAGACAACTGACAAACTTTGAGGAATAGAGGCCTTTTTGATTTATGCTTCTGGGAAATTTATAATAACAGCAGGTAGGGTAGTGATAGATCCCATTTAATTATCATTTAGTTTTGCCACAAGCTGCACAACAATAGTTAGGGTCAGCTTGCAGGTTAAGATCTAAAGGTTATTGAATTTTAAATGAAAGATGAACAGCTGTTACAGAAATAACATTACACCATAACAACTACCAATGAAATCATTAACAATCTGTGGATTAAATTTGCTTCCTTCCCATTCTCATTATTTATTATTTGGTAGGCATTTGTTTTAGGGTTTATTACATTTTTGTTAATTTCTTCATCGTGCCATTAAGCCATTTTTCCCATTTATGTAAATGGTACCCACATTAACCTTTTCTTCCCTGGTGAAAATTTCCTATTATGGAAAGGAAGACTGGATGACAACAGAATCATTTGTAAATCCCACACCAATTTCTTTTGCAGAAAAAGCACACCATAAAAGTTGGTTGTACTGCTAGTGCATTTCCAAATTGTATGCTAGCAAAACTTCCTCAGATCAATTTTCAACACAAATGACCCTCTTGAGAGAGTGAAAGTCAGTTGAGTGCTATAATGAGCGAGTTCTTTTAATTTGCTGGCTCAACTGCTTGATAAAGGTTAACATTTTAGTAGGGAAAACTGTGACACTCCACAGATTTACAATAAATAGCTGCTTCCCGACAGTGGCTTAAAGATAACTCCTGGTGATATTTACCACTGATGACTTGTCCAAATAGCTCTTCTGGAGTGTCCCCAAAGAATGGCACGCATCCAACCAGAAATTCATAGAGGATAATCCCCATGGCCCACCAGTCCACTGGCTTCCCATAGCCCTGCCTCAGAATCACTTCTGGTGCAATGTATTCAGGTGTGCCACAGACCTGAAAGATGATTGCAATATTAGAATAATTGGAATATTAGACATGCATTAAAATGAGCAAAAAGGCTAAACACCAATTATTTTGCCCAGAGTGCACCTGCTCAACCACATGGAAGCACACGGACAAAGGACTTAAAAACAGCAATTAATAAGCAGCTATCTATAATATAATAAGCAATGAATTACTTAAATGCCAAAGAAGGGAAGTTTAAAAGTCTAAAGTTGAATTATATGTAATGTTTAATTTCAAACTAAGCGTTTGACCCTGTTTAGTAATTTTACCCATATGAAAAAACATTCATCAACCTTAAATTTAAAATATGAATGCATTTTTATCCATCACTATTGGTGATAGATTTAGCATTCACATGGCCAAATTATATTCACACACTGGTTATTTCATAAAAGCATGACAGTTGAGATGGGTTTACCTTAAGTAACTTTACAATGAACAGATTGTGGGCACATGGTAATGAGGCATGCTTAAAGGGAAATGGGCCATGGCTGGGATTTTAGCACCTGTGATTGTACAATGCATCAAGACACTGGAGAGTACTCTACTGAGACTCCTGAATTCTTTACAAAAACAGTTTTCCATTTGTCTCTCTCACATTCTCACTTGTGTGCAATTAGATCGTTTGTCTTGCTAATAGACCATAATTTTGGGGGTGGGGGTGTGGAGAGGGGATTGCACCACTCAAAGAGGCCCAGGGAGAAAAATGGGAGCAATTTGCATTTTATTAAAGGTAAAGCTTACACAGACATCGACACCACCAGAACTAATGTGAAGATGGCCTAAACAAGTTGATGCAGAATTTCACTGCACTGTGCTTTGTATTTGTACAGAGCTGGGCAGCATCCAAGCTTACCTGCTTATCCAGGAACTCTCGAGCATCCTTCTCAATATGGCCCTCATAAAGATTGGTAGTCATGCTCATTAGTCCCACCTTGGATAATCCAAAATCTGTCAACTTTATGTGGCCCATGGAGGTTACCAACAAACTATGAATCAGAAAGACATACATGACAATAATTACACTGAAGCTGGCTCTTTTATATAAGTATTCCACCCTCTCTCGCATAGTCAGTTTGTTAAGACTCTTAGATATACTTGTATCAACCTTACCACAAAAGCCAGTCTGGAAAGAGGTGAAGTTATACAAAGATGTCAAATACTTGCATCTAACAGCTGAGTGTAATTTCCAAGGGAGGGTCAGCAATCAGACCCAGCTCATTTGTATGGAGCAGCCATGACAGCATCATTCACAATACTCTGAAACTCTTTGAAAAATTAAAGTGTGAAACCCTGACCCTTTTCCATTTTCAGAACAGAAAAATAAAAAAAGAAAATGCTATAAATAATTCCATGTCACACATCAGGCACTGAGATGGCCCAGACATCTGGGATTCAAATGAGACATAAGATAAAGAACTTGGGCAAAAAAATGGAGTGTTGTTTCAGATTTCAATGGCCAGTTCTAATTTAAATTTCTGCTTGTTAAGCAAAATACCGGTATTTCCTATATACACAAAGAACTCACATCTGACAGCTTTATGAATTTATACATTTAAAAATTTTCATTTAGATGGAAAAATCTAATTTTTCAATAGTATATGGACCATTATATTAATTTTATTTAAAAATTAAGGAATAGAGGAGGAAAAAAAGCAAGTGGAAGGAAATATGCCAAACTTTAATAGTGGGTGTCTTTGTGTGATCATATTGTGAATAATTTTTTTCTTCTTCTTAGGTTTTTCTATACTCTCTAAATTATCTGTAATAACCATAAGTCAATTTTATAAAAAAATTTTCAAGACACTTAAAATCTTTATATACTAACATGTAAAGCTTTAGAGGCATCTCAAATTGGTAAAGAAATCATGAAACATTTTAATAAATGTATCACAATGAATGTCTAGTCATATGAGGAAAACAGTTTATCAGACACCAAAGGAAACCCCAGATAGATGAAAAGTTGAATGAAAAGTTAATTTGCAAGCAAAATGGCATATATTATCAACTATATCAACTTGAAGTCAGGAAGGGTTATTTAAGTATGATGTCAAATGCAAAAACTATGAAGAAAACAACCTACAGAATTCTATGCGTGAAAATTCAAAATTTTACATAATTAAAAAAACTACTAGTTTGTTTTTTTTTTATTAGCCCTCACTTTATATTTTTTAGGAGCTCTGGTGGCGTAGTGCCTAAGGCATTTGACTGCTAACCAGAAGGCTGGTGGTTCAAACCCACTAGCCACTCCTCAGAAGGAAGGTTTGGCAATCTACCTCCGTAGTCATACTGCCTCAGAAACCCAAGGAGGGGTTGCCACGAGTTGGATCTGACTCGACAGCAGTAACTTCTTACTTTGTATTTACTTTTTTCTCTAAAGTTATTACTATATGCATCACAGCCTCTGAAGGACTATATAAAGATTACTATATATTGCTATTAAAATAACCTATTTGGGGATATCATAGGAGAACTTAAAAATGAGCAAAGCATTAAAAGAAAACCTTTATATAGATATGAATAAGAAACTTTTTATACTGTGTTAAAAAAAAAGACTTATATGTTTCAGCAGTGTACATACTTGTCTGGTTTCAAATCCCTGTGTACAATTCCATAATTATGTAGATATTCCAAGGCCAGGACTGTCTCAGCAAAGTACATCCTGGCCATATCAACAGGGAGAGGACCCATGTTTTTCATTAAGGTAGCACAATCTCCCCCTATGAAACAAAAGAAGATTCAGCAATATATTATCAGGTAGGATTCAAGAAGATCATCAATTTAGGCTGCAGAATTTCAAAGCAGAATCGTCCTTACTCAGAGACACAGAATACCATAGTCCTAAGTGAATTATGTTTTAAATAATCATTTTCTAATTTAGGTGGGGTGTGTAGAAAATACAGACTTTTATATTAAAAAAAAAAAAATTACTGTCATAGACTCAATTCCAACTCATAGCAACCGTTTAGGATACAGTAGAATTGCTCCCATGGTTTCCAAGGCTGTAAATCTTTACAAAAGCAGATTGCCTTATCTTTTTCTTATGGAATAGCTGGTAAGTTCAAACTGCTGAACTTCTGGTCAGCAGTCAAATGCTTTAACCACTATGCTACTGGAACTCCTGATTTTTATGTAAGTTGTTGTTATGTGCCCTCGAGTAGGACCCAACTCATAGCAATCCCTCCTTGGGTTTCCAAGGCAGTATCACTACGGACGTAGATTGCCCAACCTTCCTTCAGAGGAGCGGCCGATGAGTTTGAACTGCCAGCCTTCTCGTTACCAGTCAAATGCCTTAGGCACTACACTACCAGAGCTCCTTTTTATATAAATAGTACTCAAAAAGAGGAAGTTTGGCTCTGAAATGGAACTATACTTTGAAGAACACATAGCACAAATTTAGAACATGACAACTGAAAATATTCCAATATAAAACCTGGGGATTCCATTCAAATCTTAGCTCTGCTACTTAGTTGAGAGATCTCAGTCAAACTATTTAATCTCTCTGTGATGTGGTTCCTTCATCTGTGCTATCAGGACAGGACCCTTTTAGGATTATTATGAAAATTAAATAAGATAATATATGGAAAGAATTTAGAATATTATCTAACATAAATTAAGCATGTGATACAGGTTAGTTTTATTATAGTGGCTGCTATTAAAACGACCACAGCAAAAGGTTAATAAAGCAAAGTATTAGTGTGGTGGAAAGAATAATGGGTGGAAATCAGGTTAACTACATTTTTGTCTTATATCTACAACTAAGTAAGAAGTTTCTTTTTCTTGGGCTTCAGTTCACTCATCTCCAAAATAAAAAGGTGGAACTAAAGGGTTGTTAATGTTTCTTTAAGTTCTATAGTTTTTGTACTCTGTTCAATGGCAAGAACTTAAATTAGATACTTTAAAAATTTTCTCAGCCTTTGCCGATAACTCATTTTATTAACTTTGATTATATTCATAAGTCACGGCATGGCTACTCAAATTCCCAGAAAGTTAATGTAAAATTGATAGAAGTAAGATTACGTAGAGCGTATAAAAAGGAGCTCTGGTGGTATAGTGGTTAAAGCATTTGACTGCTAACCAAAAGGTCAGTGGTTCAAACCCACCAACTACTCTATGGACGATAGATGAGGCAGTCTGCTTCCATGAAGATTTATACCCTTGAAAATCCAGATGAGTTGGAATCAACTTGAGCAATAAGTTGCAATCAACTTGATGGCAGTGACAACATATAAAAGGTAGGTCACAACCTTTAGAATAAGGTTTTTATTTAAAAAAAAAAAAAAAAAAAAAAAAGCTGAAAATTGGGAAGACTGGTTGGCTGGATTTTCTTGAATGTGTATCCTTACCCTAACTCATTTTTAGTTTCACACCATAACAATATAGACCAGAAAGGATCTATTTTTATTGCATTCTTAAAAAAAAACAATTGTAATGAAAGCTTTTATGATATGTGATAAAGTAAATAGGAAAATCCCATCACCTATATTCTAACTTGAATGACCAATTTGAGAGGAGGTAGTTAGGATTAAAAGCTATTAAAAAAAGAAAAACAACCTTTTCCCAAATAGCACTAATTTTCCCTTTGTTATCGTAGAGTAGACACTTTATAAGCAATTATCAGAAGATAATGACTGGGAATACAGCCATCTCATTGCATGGCTTTAGTTCCTAGGTGGATACAGCCCTTCTGTGGCATAAATTCAGAACGTTTCACCACTGCAAAACAAGCAAGAGGTTTCTGGGTACAGGTGTAGAGTTTCTGGTATCGGAGACTGATTTACCTTCTACGTATTCCATGACCATGCACAAGTGGCGTCTTGTTTCAAAGGAGCAATACATGCTGACAACAAAAGGGTTTTCTGCAAAAGTCAGGATATCCCGTTCTACGAAGGCCTGCTGGATCTGGTTTCGGAGAATGAGGTTTTGTTTGTTTATCTTCTTCATGGCAAACCTCTGTCGCGATTCCTTATGCCGAACAAAGTAGACTGCCCTGAAAAGGAGCACAAACGTTGGGGTTCACAGGAAGAGAGGAGGTGAGGTTGTTTCTGAGATACAGTAAACCATGTGATCAAGGTTTTTAAGTTCATAGGGCAGCTGCACTTTAGCTGAAACAAGCTAGGCTAGTAGCTACAAACAGCCGGAGTCCTGAAATGGGGGTGTGGAGGGGAAGAGGCCAGGGGAATACTTTCGGGGGGGGGCAGTAGTGGTTCAGTGGTAGATTCCTGAATTCTATGCAGGAGACCAGGTTGGATTCCCAGTCAATGAACTTCTAGGAAGAAACACCTGGCAATCTACTCCCAAAATCAGCAAATGAAAACCCTGTGGGGATCACAACAGGATTGTTGTGCATCAGGTCACCATGAGTCAGGGTCCAATTCAACAACATTCCTTCTATGAAGGTCACAGGTCATACATAAGGCATAAATTCATCTTTACTGTTGAAGGAAGGAAACAGAAGTCCCCAGAATGAATTATTTTCCAATAGCTAACTGATGTTATCAGTTTTCCTTCCAAAAAAAAAAAAAAAAACCCAAATCCAACATATGTCAGAAGAGGAAAGAATTAACAAAATTACACACATATTATGAGCTACATCCTTTCCAGTGTGAGATATATGTTAGACACTTTTTCTCAATTGAGTAAAGCAATAGTTTTCTATACAATACCTTTGGGATCTGCAAAAAGGAATGGAGCTTCTTAGAGTACCTGATTTCCAACTGGAGACTAATTTACTTCTTATAAAATTTCCAGATCAATGAGAAATGTGTTATATGAAGCTGTCTTAAAACAAAAAGTAGCATGCTTCCTCACTATGGACCTCAGCATCTGATACACTGATTGCCGTTTCAATAGGAAATACATTTCCCAACATAGAGGGAAAAGGGTCCACCGGCAGAAATGCATTTCTGCTCATTCCAACCCATGGCAAGGTGCGACACAGCTTTATTGTAAAATGACCAGGTTGCACTAAATCTCTGGCTAAATTTAAAACTAAGCCTACTGCCACTGACTTGATTCTTACCCTGTAAGACAGAGCAGAACTGCTCCATAGGGCTTCCAAAGCTGTAAATTCTTACAGAAGCAGATTGCCTCATTTTTCTCCCACAGGGTAACATGGGGGTCTGAACCACTAACCTTTCGGTTAGCAGCTGAATGCCTTAACCACTGCACCACCAAGCTCCCTGAATCTCTGCCTAAAGCCCCACCCATATACTCTAAAGAGCCAGTTCTGGCTAGGTAATTACAAGAGATTGCTGGATGAGCAACAAAAAAAATGTCTTGATGGATTGGCTCCCTTTCTCACAAGTAATCGTGGGATAACAGGTTTGAATTTGCAGATCAGGCAATGGTCAAATATGTAACAATTTACCTACAGTCACCAATTATGGCAAAGCTCCAGCAGTCTGCCTCCTGAACACGTAAAGGGTTCTCTAAGCTGTGGTTTTCACTAGTTATTTTCATTAACCTTGAAAAATGAATCACTTATGCAAGGGGGCTAGGATCCCCTATGCTCCTATGGAACCAATATATCAGGGTGATCCACTGACATAAATTTCAATTACATTTAATTCTAATTTATTCAGTACTCATATGTTCCCCTTAAAGTGTTCAGCTAGTGATCTATTTTTTCAAGTATGTATATATTTATCTTTGTCTTCTCATTGTATCCATCTTTTTCCTTCACTCACAAAATTATACATTCATTTTTTGTCTAATAGTTCTCTATTTTGCTTTATTCCTTTTTCCATTCTTCTCACTTCTTTGGCTTTCTAGTTCTTTCATTATATAGTAAAAGCTCTCTTAACCAAACTGCACATGATCACCTCACTGGAAGCCTGGTGATGTTATTCCCAATGTAACTCTGGCAGGGGAGCTGGCCAGCCTGGAGCCCAAGGTTTTCAGCAAGTGACAAGTTGTCCTCTGTATGATGCCCAAACACATGGGCTCCTACTGTTGTTGTTAGTTGCCATCAAGTTGATTTCAACTCATGGTGACCCATGCGTGCAGAGTAGGACTGCTCCACTGGGTTTTTAAGGCTGTGACCTTTTGAAAGCAAACTGACAGGCCTGTCATCTAAGACACCCCTGGGTGATTTTGAACTGCCAACCTTTTGATTACTAATCGAGAGCTTCACTGTTAGCACCACCCAGGGACAACTGAGTTTAATTTCCACAGCTGTTTATGCTGGCTGGACCTGATAAAGCAATTAACTAAGTAAAACAAATACTTAAATTGATGACATATGAGTGTGGAAAGGTAAAGCATTGTTTATTAAAAAAAATCTAAACTGAACACTTTGAAATCTTGATAAAAGTGAGCTATTAGTAAAATTCTTCCTGATTTACTGTGGGTTAGGAAATTTTTAAAAGTTGGAAAAAATCATAAAAATCGATAATTCTACAGATTGCTTCAATCTTCTGTTTCTTTTTCTTGCTTTGCCTTTAAAAAAGCTAAAACTGTAACACTGAAATGATGTATTATAAATATGGTTTATATTGCCTGTCATAAAGATGCCTGGCCTTACATCAAAAGATCAGTAAATTTATATATATTTGGGTTAAATTAAAATGTTTAAAGTATGTATCATTTAGAAATGATTTCCCACATTGACCAACTTTCTAATTAACCAAGAAACTACTCCTTTCTGAATCAGATTAAAAACTTTAACTGTACTTTTCTTTTTCCTATTGTGGATCAGATAAAAGCAAGACTCCACACAAATGTTGAGCTGCTCCTAATCAGATGCTGGTAACAGTTCAGACAGATCCAAAGGAGCACAGAAAAGACCTTGTACTTGCCTTCAATGTATGATAAGCATTGGTAAACAAATATTATCAATATAAATAAACGTTACAAATATAAAGAGAAATTTTTGAAATAGAAAATCCTTTTTTAAAATGGAATTTAGAATTCAAAATGTGGAAAGAAAAAAATAACAGTATTTTTATGTAATCGTTTGCCTACTAAAAGTCACTTGGACTACAGCTTACTCTCCATCTCTTCCTTCAACAATTCACATTGAGGAAATTTAGCGGTGAAGACCCTTAGACATGTGATACTCTTGATTTTCACATTTAGACCATCTGAAGGTTGTCATTTTGATTTCCAATCAAGCATCACCATTTCTCACATGAACAACTGTTCAGCAATATGTTTGAGAATGAAAGGGAGTGGAGCTACAAGAACAGAGTTGTATATAAGTTTATATAAGAACAGAAAAGTACTTCAACCCCCGTTAGATTATGGTTCTGCCTAGGACTCTCTCTGTGGCACTGTGTAGAAAATGGTTTCAGTCTTTTCAGCTTTTCAGTTCATAAAATTTAATTTGACTTTCTGTTTTCCCTTGCCATGATATATTTAAAATAATCAGTTAATTCCTTAGAAAACACACCTAAACCAACTGAAATGAATTCCACAGTGATTTTGTTACCTTTGATCAAGTTGCAGAAAGAATGTGTTAGCATTTGCTGTTTTTTTTCTGTTGTTGTTTTATGTTCTTGGCTTTTTACATTTTTGTGCTTTGGGAATATTATTCTTAATGTTTCAATGTGTTTATTTGGTAATAATTGTTGTCTTTCTCATACCTCTCTTCCTTTCCTGTTAAGTTTCAAATCTATTTAAGTCAGCAGAGAAGGGAAGAGAGAGAGACAACAGCAGAGAGGGAGAGAGACATCTAACTCTTAAGTCAGGCTGTGAACTTTCCAAGTTTATAAAACTGGCCAGAAATGACCCGGCCCCACATTTCCCTGCTTCCTGGCCCCCAAGAGTTGCTTTTTCTGAGAAGCTGCTTCTGTCTCTCTCTCTCTACACTGACCTCCCTGTGAAATAGGAAAATCAAGGGTAGGAGGTGTTTCTGTGAGAGAAGAAACAGGGACACCTCTTCTCTGATACAAGCTTTACTCCTCCTATGCAGAACTGATATGTGGGAGGGTGGTAAGAGATGGAGTCAGAAGTGAAGAGGATCTAAGGCAGAATGGATCAGTCCTATCGGGAACATGAATGGCTAATGCGTATAAAATTATGCATGAATCTGACAGCACAATACATGAATCTGTGTGAGTAAATTTGCATGTGGGAGTGAGAGTGTAAGTGTTAGAGGGAAGCTGAGAGGAAAGGCTATAGAGAGAGTATATGGGGATGCATGCCAGCTTGCTCACACGGACCAGACAAAAGGCCCTGGTCCACTGAGGGATAAAACAGAATAATGGGCATTGCTGACAGAAAGAAAAGCAAAGGGAGGGAGAAATGCTGTGCCTTTCAAATTTGTTTTTTTTTCATTTTTTAAGATTTTATTCTTTCACATGAAAATATAGGGGTTTTAATTTAAAAATCCAGGTGCAAGAGCTCATTGGAAGAAGTAGGACATCTATACTCCAAATAAGTGACAGTAAAACCTGTGAAAGCCGGAACTTGTGTAAGGTGGAAACCTGTCAGAGAAGGAAAACTCAAATATATTCCACGAATAGAGAGTGATAGAAATGTACTAAGATTGCACCCTGTCAAAGGTGGAAAATGCACGAGATTCGAAAAACAAGGCAGTCCTGTCGAGGTCTGGCTCTCACAAGTTTCACTATCCCACAGTGCCTGGCACATCAGTGTCAGCTTCTGAAGTACTAAATGGTGTGAGATAGGGGCCAGGGAGTGCAGTGGTAGAATGCTTGTCCTCTGCCCAGGGGGCCTGGGTTTGATTCCTGGCCAGTGTATCTCATGTGTAGCCACTACCTTCTGTTGCTGGAGGCCTCTGTGTTGCTTTATGCTGAGCAGGTTTCAGGGGACCTTTTTGACTGGGAAGGACTAGGGAGAAAGGCCTAGCAATCTACTTTTGAAAATCAGTCAGTGGAAATCTATGCATCAGAATGGTTCGATCCACAGCTGACTGCTGATGCTGCAGGGCCAGATAGCATATTGTTCCGTTGTTCACCCTGAGTCAGGGGCCAAACACACAGCAGCTAATAACCATGAGTGGTTTCAGGGATGCTGAACCTCCAGTCAGGGATCCAAAATATGTTAACTAGAGAAGAAAATCTCATGTTTAACAAATGAGCAAATTGACCTTAAACATGAGTTACCACTGAGTCAGACATTGAAAAACTCCATGTGTTTTAGTGTGGCGGGTAGAAGCCCTTCTTAACAAAAATGTTGGTTAGTTGCCAGCATAACAATTGTCAAGAAGTCACTGAATTGGTATCACTTTGAGGCACGAGTGTGAACGGTACACCCTATTACATGTCTAAGACAATCTCTGACAGTTTGAGTTCATTCGCCCATAGAAGCATCTCACTTGTTCAGCCAGTTCACATACGCCAGCAATCAGCATCTTCAGTGAGTACGCCAGTGGGCGTAGCTCCATTCGAATTTCAAATTAAAAATAATTAAAACGTAGAGGAAATCTGTTGGAAATGTAATGAGCGATTAAATCTGAGAAAAGTGCAAGAGAAAAAAAGTTTTGGCTGAATGATGGAAGCTCTCACCGGCAGCTTGTGAGTCCATTAATGATTTGGCCTGCTTCCTGGGTGTTTACTGATACACAGCTTGTTTAACTTCTTGTATATTCCCAGCCATTCCCCAACGTGTGATACACCTCATCTACTACACAGTTGTTTAATTGCACTACAAATGAGTTTACTCAACCAATTAGAACTCCAAATACTGCTAAGATATATGCCTAAGTTTCACAAAAGTGGTACTTCACCGATAATTTGATCCCAGAATTCCACCGCCAGTAAAATTTAGGAGCACTCACACTCATATAGCCACAAATGCCACATTCAGTAATTTTCCTAGTGGAAAAGAGAGATCTCTGGATCATCTCCAAAACAAAACAGAACTAAAAACAAATAAACAAGAATTGCAAACAATTGCATACTAGAAAAATTTTCTTAAGTAGAAAACTTTTCATGAGGTCCTTAAAGGAAATAAAATATTACAGAAATATAGCATCAGAAAGTATTTATAAACTACATCAGGAAATACGTCATTTGACATAATCCTGAAAAGAAATCAGTGGTGCAAAAGAGGGCTCACAAATATTTAAGTTCTTCACTAAGTTAATGGCGTGGAAAATATTAGAAGTGAAAAAACAATAAGGGGAAACATCCCTTGTGGCACAACAAAAGTAGCTTTTATCTCATCTGCTCATATGTGTGATAAATGGCAATAAATGTCTATGGGATTGTTTATTGCTCTCCATATACAGATGGATTTGGGATTAATACTTAATTAAACTAGAGTTCTTGGGCTGTCTAAAATGGATCAGAAAGTAGTTTGGGTATTAATTATCCTTCCAAATGATTAGTAACTCAGAATGACGTGCCACAATTTGCCCTATGCCATGAGAAGGATATCATGTCTGCATAAATATGGATCAAGCAAGAGGCCTGACTAAAGAGTTCTATTTTTAAAATCCTAGTGTAATAGAAAGACTAAAAGGAATTTAATACTCTAAATTTTCAACCAACTTCTTATTTAAATACCTCTCTTACAAGGTTGACTGCTGGGTCTGACAGAAGTACTAATTCTCAAGTACTAATTCTCAAGTAATAATACTATACAAGAAATATACACACACAGAAATATGTGCTATATATGAAAAAAAAATCTAAAGCTATCAGGAGACTTACGTACTTCCAAAATCAAAATGGAAGAGTGAAGGAGCTAGAAAGAGAAATGTATAACATTTTTCTTTTCTTATATATTTTCTTTTGTTTTACAGGGTTGTCTTCTTCAACCCTCTAAAATAACTCCCTCTAGGACCCTGGATATGTTTTCTGATGGGCATCCAATAAGAAATGATTTTGGCTGCATACTACATGCATCAAGAATGGAGCTATGGTCTGAAAAGTAAAGTCCACACATAACATCTATTTGGTATTAAGATAAATGGGAAGAATATATTACTCAGGTGTGTTAAAATACAATAGAGAGATTTTCTTGAATTACTCACCCATAGGCTCCATTGCTAATCAATTTAATCGTTTCAAAATCACTTTCCCGAGGTTTCCTTCGAAGTTTCAGGGAAGCATTAGAGCTCTTGGAAATAAAATATGCAAGTTAAGAACAGTCCAGAATTTGAGAAAATGCTTTTTAACAAGTTAAATATTACATGAATTACATGCTCAGTCATTTAATATGCTGACATGCAGTACAGGCCGTCCCCAGGTTATGAATGTACAACCTGTAGCTATGAACCGATCCCCATAAAGCCATTATATTAAAAATTAGTACATACAATAGTTTGTAACAACCAACAGGCTACTTTGTGACACACATTAAAACATTATTATTAATTATTTTTATATGCCATCGAGTCGGAACTGACTCATAGTGGTTAGGTTTCCAAGGTGGTATCACTATGGAAGTAGATTGCCCAACCTTCCTTCCGAGGAGTGGCTGGTGGGTTTGAACTGCCAGCCTTCTGGTTAGCAGTCAAGTGCCTTAGGCACTATGCTACCAGAGCTCCTATTATTGTTATTACTATATTATTATGTTAAAGATGTTTTAGTGTATCTGGAAGTGTTTAATGTTTTTTATGCATAGAAAGGTACACTATATACTAAGACAAACATTTGACTAACTGATGTTAGATACAAACGGAACCTAACTGTTCCAACTTATTTACAAATTCCACTTAAAGACAGATTTAGGAATGGAACTCGTTTGTAATCCAAAGACTGCCTGTATTCAAATGAAATGAACCTGTGGGACAGCTTTAAAGATCAATCTTTCATAGCAGTGCTGATAACCTCCTCCTCAGAACACTGTCTCACTTACACTGAAACAAACCCACATTTCAGGGGATAAGGGCACCAATCTTTTTGAAAATTCCTGATATTAATTTCCCTTTGTCAATTACTTGTTAGTTCCATCTTAGTCTCTTAAAATTTTAAAATATAAGTTCAAAATATCACACCTTCCTTCTAGTTTCAGCCAGCCAGAAAAGTATGGACTAGAGCAGCCCAACATGTAGCCTGTTTGTCCCTGACCAGAGCATGTATATTATTCCTGTGGCAACCTCTCTTGTTTGAAAAAAGTTAGTGGCTGTTGAATGAAATACCCCAGAGTAGCACCCAAGAGTAGAATGTTGGCCTTTTATTCTATACCATAAGTTATCCCACAGTTAAGAAATCAATTTCCAAAAAAGTTCCTTAAAAAATTTAGCTCAAAGGATAAGAATAAATAAAGTGCTTAGGAACAAATTCTCTCAGATCCCATTTATCTTAGTGTTGAAAGAGTATATTCACAATATATTTGCTACTCTCTGTAGAATCTGGCATTCCCTTCCCACCTTCTTGTAAGAAACCTTGTGACTCTCCTATTCAATGCTGTTATCCATTGACCTTGTCATTCCACCCATCATTGGAAGGCATGGGCATCCACTTCCCACAGTCCCCTCTGCCCCAGTTCTCTCACCATACTGGGTACATTCTGTGTCTATACAGATAACTCAACTGACACTACAGCCTCTGGGTTCTTTGACCTCGTCTGAGAACAACAATCTCTCTCCTCTCCTTCTCCTTGATCTCTGGCCACAGGACCTGGATCACCTGAAAATGTTCCATCTCAGAAAACATAATTCAAGACCAGCAAAACTTCCTATCCCATGCTTTCCACTATGACTGCTCTTGCATGCCTCTGGGCTCTATACAGGGCCCTTTTCTCGTTCTCTCTTCCCTACCTGAGTGATCTCATTTATAACCTCAGATGACTTCTAAGTGATTTAAGCTTCCACCAAAAACTCTTAGTACAAGAACTAGAGGGTATCGACCTTATATACAACTGTCTGTCTGATGGCTCTTTTTGGATGTCTCAGTGGAACTTAAGTCTCATCACATCCAAAGTTATGACCATTATGATAAAAATAACAAAAATATCTATCTATTTGGCATTTATTATGTGGTGTTGCTGTAATAATTTTTCATGGGCTAACTCACTTAATCTTTTGTGATCTTTATGACTATACCTTTTTACAGATGAGGAAACTGAGGTACAGAGAGATTCCCACAGCTACTAAGATGTGGAGTCAGGTTTCAACTCCAGGTAATCTGATTCCAGAGTTTGGGTTCTTAGGCACTAGACTACCAGCTGCCCCTGCTTCCCTGACCACCTCCAACTTGTCTCATTCTGGTCCCTCTCTTGGCATTCACAACTAAGGAGAATGGCACCAGCATCCAGTACCTTTCACCTGTGCCACTGCACAGCCTCTTAACTGACTTCCCATGGCCACCCCTGCCTGCTCTCCCAGCCTATCACTTTCTACACTGCAGTCAGAGTGATTTTTCTAAGCTAGGTACTCTGAATGTATCATCGCCCTGTACTTCCCCTACACATATACACTTCCCCCAAAGCTCAATAGCTTCTCATTGTCCTTAAGAAAAGGAAACGCTGACAACATGAGCAAAAAGGACCTACATGTCCAGTTTTTACATCCTGTATTGACAGTCTCCCTTGCTCTTGGCCTCAGATGCATCCTGCTCTCTTGTGTCACAGAACCTTTGCCCCTTTCTGTCTTCTCAACCTACTTATTTCTCACATCTTGGTTAACGCACATTCCTTGGAAAATCTCTTTGGACCTGCCAGACTAAGGTTATGAACCAACCCTGTTTGTGCCTCTTTATGTTATGCTCTTGTCATATATGTCCTTTTAAGTTCATATATATTATTCACGTTTGTCACTTTCATATTTTTTGTGTGACTTCTTTTTATTAATATCTGTTTCTCTTTGTTTGGAATGGCTAAAAACTGTATGTCCCCTGTCTGGCACAGTGCCTTGCACATAGCAGAAACACCATAAATATTTGTTGAATAAAGTAATTAACACAGCCAAAATCTCCATATGCCAAAAAATAGAAAAACAGCATCACATTTCATCAAGAAATATACTTACACTCAATGATTCATCTGTTTCTGGTGTTTCTGCTGTTCCACTATCATAGTTTCCCAACTGAGCCATTTCTAAGTTTTTTTTAAAAAAAACAAAATAAAGTTTAGGAAAAGTAGGCAGGGCAATTGCAATTAGACAAGAATATTACACTGAAACAAAAGAAAAATTATTTCTCCAATATTAAAAAAAAAAAGGCAAAACTAAGAACTTATCCTGTACTTCACTGTACTATGTAAAAATCTTAAATCCAAAATGTTAGGAATCAGTGACTAACATTCTGAAATTGTTTATTATACACCCTTCCCAGGAATGTCATTTCTTATGACCACCTAGACAAAGGAACTTTAGAGACTGGGCCTTTATTCTAGCTGGCAGGATTCACTGGCTAATGCAGTCACGGCAGTTTGGAAAGGGCTTGGGGAAGAGGGTGTTCAACAGCTGTGCTTATAGTCAAATATCTAGGAGAGGTAAGACTTCCCAGGCTCTGAGAGACAAGTAGGATGCAATGACCACAATTTCGTGATGATTCTCAAGTTGTGGTGAGAATCCCTTGTTCCATTCCTTCACATCCACTGGAAGATCTCCCACCAAGTAAGCTAAGCATTTGCAATTTATCAGGGAGGAATTAACAGCAGTGGTTAAGAGGGGTTGAGAGATGGAAACACTTGGGTCACCACCAGGGTCAGCACTGAGGGAACTTTAACCTGGCTGAAGCTGAGGACCCTTCACCTGTAAAATGGCAACAGTATTACTTATCTCTTAGGGCTTTTTGTGAGTATAATACATGATAATGCATGTAAAGCTCTTATTAGTATGTTGCCTAACAAAAATTAAGTGCTTATTAAATGTTGACTATTCTATATTATTAAGGAGCTCTAGCAGCATAGTGGATAAGGCATTTGGCTGCTAACCAGACAGTCAGCAGTTCAGACCCACCAGCCGCTCCATGGAAGGTAGATGGGACACTCCATTTCCATAAAGATTTACAGCCTTAGAAACCCAGTGGTGGTTTCTATGAGTCAGAACCAACTCGATGGCAGTGAGTTTTTTTTTTTTTTTTATTATTATTCTATTCTATTATTATTAATTACATCATGTAAAGTAGTTAAACCTGGGCTGGATACCACATGCTTGATACCATCTTTCCTACTAATCGGTGGTCTAGTTAGGAGAGACAAAGGCATCTAATCAATCCACACTGGAATGTATCCCTGAGTTTATACAAGTAAATGAGAAAATAAAATTCATCGTACTGCTTATTTTTATCTTTACACTTTTTTTTTAAAGTATGAAAGAATTTACTGCAAAATTTTGACAGCGGTTACCTCTGAATGGCAACATCACAGGTAATTAGTATTTTCTTTCATTATCTGCATTTTCTAATTTTTCAGGATTGAACATGCATAATAAAAAGCTGTAGTTTTTAATAACATTTTTATATGCTTCCAAAGTCACTTCTTAGGTTCTTGGTTCATGTATTGATATACCATGCTTTAACTTATTTTTTGGTGAGATTCCATGTAAACAGTATAAAATAAAACAATACAAGTTCAAGATCTATGAAATAACTGGAAAGTGACACTATATTTCAATTTACCTGTAGGGGAAATTCTAGAATAAGAATGAACTCAGTACAAACTATATGTTGCTTTCATGGTGTCATTCAAACATTATCAACATCCCATGTGACTAGCACGTTGGATTTATGGACTTGGAGGTGAACTGAAATGTATTCTGTTGGAGGGGCTCTCAATGAAATGGGTGGAATTTAATATTGTTTATATAAAACAGCAGCAACAGCAATTAGTAAGCAATTACTACATTTCAAGTGGAGCACTGGAGAGTCAGGGTCCTTGATGGATATGCAGGTTCAATTCCTGGCCAGTGTACCTCACTTCCAGCCACCACCTGTCTGTCATTTGAGGCTTACAAGTTGCTATGTTACAGAACAGGTTTCAGCAGAGCTTCCAAACTAAGAAAGACTAGGAAGAAAAGGCCTGATCTACTTCCCCAAATTAGCTAGTGAAACCCTATGGGTCTGCAAACGATCATGGAGATGGCACAAGGCTGGACATAGTTTCATTCTGTTGTGTATGGGGTTGCCATGAGTCGGGCTGACTTGATAGCCACTAACAACAACATGCCTTGCAACATTCAAAACAACCCTGCAAATAGGTACTATTATTTTTCCATTTTTATGGAAGACTTGAGGCACATGAAGACTTGTAGTGTCCTGCAGGCCATGCAGCCTACAGTACAGCCAAAGTGTAGGTCTGGGCAGTAGGGCTCAAGACTCACTTCTAACCTTCAAAGGACAGGCCTTAAGTATGTTAACTTAGATACTGACAAGGAGAAACAACATAGATCTGAGTTTATAATAGTTTATAAAATTACCTGGAGAAGTCATATTTTAAATGAAAGCAAATAGAGTGAAAATATCTTCAAATATGATTCAAGAAAATTAATGGTTAAGAGTTAAAAACATAACTCCCAGCAATAAAATATCTTACTGTAGTGGGTTAAATACTTTAGCCCCAAAATTCATGTTTACTCAGAACCTCAGAATGGAACCTTATTTGGAATAAGGATCTTTGAAGACGTTATTAGTTAAGGATCATGAGATGAAATCATCCCGGTTTAGGACGGACCTTTAATTCAATGACTGATGTCCTTATAAGAAGAGGACACACACAAAGATAAAAGAAGAAGGCTAATGCAGACAGAAACAGAGACTGGAGTGATACATTTATAACCCAAGGAAGAATATCCAGAAACCGTCAAAAGCTGGGAGAGAAGTATGAAACTGTTACTCTCTTAGTGTCCCCAGATGGAACCAAGACTGCCAATACCTTGACTTTGGACTTTTGGGCTCCCGAACAGTGGGAGAAACCATTTCAGTTGTTTTAAGCCACTATGTCTGCGATGATTTGTTACAGTGGCTGTAGAAGACTAATGTAATTACTAACATCCAAACTTGTCAAAGATCACTATTTGTATGTCTATTTTTCAAAGTCTCTGTAAAGGTACATAAACGGGCCTCAGATTATTTACCGACCTAAGCTCAGCTTGCAGTGATATTCACTGCCAGGTAAGAAAACTGTGAAGAACTCACTCAGTCTACAACTCAAGTGCTGACACAACCTTAACTACACCAGCGTGAAGAGTCACTATAATATACTTTGACAGCCTCCCCCACTCCAATTATTCTCATAAAAAAACAAATTAAAAGATGTTTATGTTTTAAATAGAATTTCTGCTAAGTAACTATTATCTGGGAAATACATATTATTTGCAAGCAGTGGGTAGTAATGGAATGGAACCAAGAGTCAGCTTTTGAAGCAGGGAGCTAAGGCATCATTTTGTAATGCCTGAAGAGATTTCTAAAACTCATCTAAATACCATTAAACATCTGCTCTTTTTATTTCATTGATTTAAACCATTTCTGAAGACTCATGATTCAAAAAGGTAAAGATGATAATTTAAAAGCCATGGGGAAAATCTCTCCCCAGGGAACTTTTCAGAAAAGCAGCCACCAGTCTCTGATAAGTGATGAATCTGTTGTGGTATTGCTTTCAGTACAGTATAAATTTATCTGACATTATCTCCCAGTAATGCATGCATCATTTCCCTGGAAGCAAAGATACAGTGGCCATAGGAACAAACAAAGCAGGGGAAATAGGGGAGCAGGCACAGAACAGTAGGTTCCCAGGCTTCAGATGGGACAAAACCCCCTGCTAGTACTTAGCACCATTACAAACAATTTGGCAAGATCAACACTGTTTGCAAATTCAGTTTAATGAATCAAGAAGACAATTTTGAATGGAGTATTCGACACTTGTTTTTGAGTCTACTTAGGCAATATATAACCTAAGTGTTTTAAACAACAATCTCAAACTAGAATGAACTAGGAAGGGAGGCTGGGAAGAAGGGGTGAGGAAGGGGAGGGAGGTGTGCTTTACCAAAATTGGATTTTTAAAAAAATCACTAATAGGATAATTTGTGTTCTTTGGATATAAAAGAATTATGTCAGTTTTTTATTTCCATCAACCCTAATCTTTTATAAGCTTTAAGAAAACATGTCTTCTTTCACTATCTTGTATATTACTATTTTTTATACTTTCTTAGAACAAGCAAGCAAAAACATACCTACCAATATTGCACTCAGTTTAATCTATAATCAGTTCTATTACTCCCCAATTACTTTAAATTTAAATGTCATTTAGTGTCATTTTCAGATTAATTATAGTTAATGTCTTTAGCGGTATTTTCAAAATTAAAACTGCCCTCCAGAACAATCCAACTGAGCTTTGCAGGAGTAAAAATATTGTGAGAAGATTGAAATCTAAACCCTTCTGGGACACTGGCATTCCCAGGCTGACAGGCCTCTAAGATTTCAAGGTCTGTCCCCAAAATCTAGGTAAACACAAAATGGGTCATATCCATTTGCTCCTTCAGATTCAATTCATGGCTAATTCCTTCAAATTACAAGCAGTCCTCAAGCACGGGATCTTCAATAGATAGAAGCATGAGGGAAACACGAGCCAAAGTACGAGGGAAAAAAAAAGACTGGTTGCTGAGTTCTTATACGCAGCCATGGAGCATAAGCAAGTAAAAGGTCGGCCCCACCAAGGCACTCACTCACCTTCCAAAGGATCCTTATTGAGACCCAGCTGGCTAATGATGTACCTTGGGATGTCAGTCTTAATACCCTGCCCTTCTTTTGCATGGCCTTCTGCCGCTTCCAGTAGGTAGTAAAATTCTTCAGGATCAAATTCCTAGCAGAAGACAAACACACATACTTCTATGAGCCAAAGTTTTCTGAGATTTTATTACATAAATCCCATTCACAGTAAAATTGCTAGATGTACATGGTTGAGGGTTATTTATAAAGAATAGGAGGCAAATGGTTTTGAAAACTACATTATTTCTCACTTCATATTCTAACCTATAGGGGAAAACCAATACATTTATGCACTTGGTAACCCAAAGATAATGCCCATTTCCGAATCCCTTATAATGCCACTTTGAAGGTACTGTATCTCACTGAAAATGAATAGGTCTGAATTTTTAAAGCACCTTTTAAGCAAACTTTTAAAATCTGGAATTTCATCCAGAAGTCTGCTTCTCTCCCTGTACAGCTAACTACAAAAATAGTCACGTCAGAATACATTTTCTCAAAGGTCTTGCAGGGAACTCCTTTAGAACAGGGGTATCCAAAAATATTGGAAAGAAAAATCTCAAAATCACCACTTTCTGTCAGTGTGAACTTTAAAATTAAACTATTAATGGTCACATAATATTAAGATTCAAGAAAGAAAAATATAAAACTAATGCTTCTAATTACTTCTTTTTCTTTCTATAAAACTTTAGTTAAGTATTCTTTCTATATATTTTATTTTCTTTGATAGTCTGTTTTTTTTCAAGTATGTAATAAAAATCAGGGTCACATCACTCTAGATGGGAGGCCACACTTTATGTGTTGATGTGTTGTAAACAATTATGCTTATAGATTTAAAACATAGTCAGCTGTAATTCCTAGATTTTTTTTTTCCCTTAGGATATATTTTCCCTCCATTCTGATTAAGACCACAATAGGTAACTTCAGAATCTTAGCATTTCATCTAAGAATGACTCAAGAATTTCTAAAAGCTATACACACACACACACACACACATAAAATTTAAAAAAAAAAAAAGCTTGCTTCAAGTGGAGTCAAGCCAAGCCAATGTATACTCACAGTGCCCTTTACATAAATGTACAAGGACAGACAGGGCAAGCCTGGGAATTGCAGGTAGAAGATGACAGGTCGTGGAAACATCCTCTAAAGCCTCTGAAACTTCAGCTATATCTGGGCTTCAAACAGTATTGAAAGCAGCAAAATTTTCAAAGCTAGTTCTAAGTTCATTTGTTTCTATTGCTGAAAGGTTCTCCTTTTATTTTTTTTTTTTTCCTGATTATGAGTTATTACTATAAAAAATTCATTTCTTCCTCTAAGGCAAGATCTGCTCTTAGCATATCTGTTGCTGTCCAGAGAAATGTGTTTTAATGCTAAATGGCATTTTCAGTCAAATCAGACAGCTGTAGGAGTACAAGCACTTAATTTAAAACTTTTTGGAATAAGAGAAGCAGTAAAAAACAAAGTCTCCCTCTACCTGCATTTCTCGCCATGTAGTTAGTTCTCCTCTCTAAGGGTACCCACTGTATTTTTTTTTTTTTTTTTTCATTTATCCTTCCAGAGACACTCAACAGCAAATGACACTTTTGATTCTGTGATTCTAAAGGTCTTTGCCATTGATAGAAAGCCCTGCCCCATCACTCCTCTACTTTTTTCCTCAAGATTTTCCTCTTCAATGTTTCACAATGCAGTGGAATATATTTATAATCTGTAAACATTTTTACTTTTATAAAAAAAATGAATGCTTTTTTTTTACCAAATCAATACATGTATGTACATAATGTACGTATGTTATGTATGTATATATGTATTAAGTCTAAAAAACTGTGGTGTACTTGGTTTTTTAATTCCTTTACTGACTAAACCAAACCCACACCAAACTCACTGCCGTCAAGTCAGATCTGACTTATTGCAACCCCTCCTTGGGTTTCTGAGGCAGTATCACTATGGAAATAGATTCCCCAACCTTCCTTCCGAGGAGCAGCTGGTGAGTTTGAACCACCAGCCTTCTGGTTAGCAGTCAAATGCCTTAGGCACTATGCCACCAGAGCTCCCTTTACTGGCCAGTAGAACTTAAAAAGTTTTTATGCTATATTAAGTACTTTAAAATAGAGAGGGGAGGAAAGTTTTTTTATGGTTGGAGATGGTCATCGCGGCTGTGAAATCAAATGTACATGAACTGTTGAATGTACAACAAATCTGCTTTGTAAATTTACACCCAAAGCACAATTAAATAAACAAAATGTTCTGAAACTGAAAAACAAAAACAAAAAAACACACCACACAATTCTTTGGTGAAAGCTTTCTAGTTTTCTAATTTTGACTACATCTCAGTCAAAATTTTATAAAATTAAAAATTTTAAAACAGGAAAATGATCACTGGCCAAAGACTATACAGTAAAACCTGCGGAAGCTGGAACTTGTATAAGGGGGAAGCTTGTCAGAAAAGGAAAACACAAATGTTTTTGACTAAGAGCAATCGAAAAGTGGAAAGATGACACTCTGTCAAAGGTGGAAAACATGCAAGACCCAGAAAAATAAGGCAGTCCTGTGGAGTTCTGACTCTCATAGTTTTTACTGGATGATAAAATGAACCAGCCTCTGAAAGCCTCATTCCTTCAGGTTGGGGATAAGGCCTTACTGTATTCTCCCAAACATTTCCTTAACAGGCCACATTTTAAAGACAATAATTATAACCACAGGTCACTGTGTATCATATTTCTGATTTCTCTCCCTCTGCATCTTGGCAACTCCATTAAGTGAGGCACAGCAAGCATTTTAAATTAGCTGTGACATAAAGTAATTACGCAGAGATAAGCTCAAGTACATTATTTCATGATCATCTTTCAAGTTTGCCCAGAATGTGATATGACTATCACTTAATACAGCAAAGGTCCTAGAAGTCTGACTTATCAGAAAAGAAGAAACACATATGGATGTCCTCATCAACATGCACAAGTTGCAGCTTCTTGTGAATCTTCCCATTTAGCCCTGGTCTTTGAAGCCAAGTGAAACTGGAGCTGTCTGCCGCTTACTGCCTTCCCACAGTTAACAGTAAATAACGTAGTCAGGCACTTACCAGGCACTCTAATAACCGAGCAGGGCGGGCAATGACGATTAGGATCTTTCGGACTAGTTGTTTAATAAATGCCAATTCTCCACTTTCTGAACGATCATGAGCCTGGGAAAGAGCAATGAAAAGAATGATGATACAGAGTTGCTCCATTAAATGGAAAAGAAAATCAGCAAAGCATGCTAATTAGATAATTACAAATATTCAAAAATTAAGTGATTTAGAAAATACTTTTAAAATCTCTGCAGGATAAATGAGCATTAGCGCTTCATAAACGGACACTATTAAACTTCTGTATCTACCAAATGGCTCTATTAGCTAAACTTAAATTGCATATTTTTAAAATTGATTCTCTGTTTTAAAAACCAAATGTTATAGCTCTTCATGTGAAGCATCAATGAGAGATATAAAGAGTTTATGAGACATTAAGTACATGGTACAAGTTAAGTGGGCAGCTGACCAGGATCCTTGATTTTCCCAAGTTAACACCTTACATGAATGAAATGGCCAACATGGTTATATTTGTAAAAGACTGAAGGACTGCATTTGCTATTCTCGGCATTTAGCATGTTCATGGAAAAAAAAATACATATACATGTGTGTGTATGTATGTGTATATATATATATATATATATATATATATATATATATATATATATAATATGATTAACATATAAATCAGTCATTTCATGACATGTAAAAAGCATACAATGTTTTATTTATTTAAATGTTAGCTACATAATGTTTATACTTAGATACACATATATGAATTCAATTTTACATATTAAATATTACCTAGGCACTCAATTCAGTAAAACAGACTGACAATTTTTATTTTATTTCATTTTATATATCACCTACATGTGAAATCTACTAAGCCCAAAAAATATTCAGAGGAAAGTTCAATTAGTTAATAGCCATTTGTATTTTCATGAAAAAAGAGGCAAATTTGTGTCAAAGCAGGCATAAAACCAAAGTTTTAAAAGTTCTAACCTAAATATCTATGCAAGTTCACTCTTTAATCATGCTTCAGTTTTAAATGTTTATGATTTACCTTTACCTGAGGATTAAAAATAATACGTATAAAAGTGATGCTGGTACAATATAATGCAGTTTCACACATATATGGAAATAAACATTTACATTCATGCTTGGGTGAACTTTATCATAAGGACCAGCTCTTTCCCCATGAAAAGAACTGATAGACCACATCTATTAAAAATGCTTATACTTAGCAGTAATGTGTATAGTCAATTTAAGCCATCAAATCAAAGGCTATTTTCCAAAATGTAGACACAGAAACAATATACAGTCAAAACAACTAAAATTTAAATAACATAAACATAGGGAAAATGACTACGGGTGAGTAATGGTTCAATAGAAACATTCAAAGAAAATCAATTAGAAACTGTAACTATAGGGACTAACTGACCCACCCACTACCATCAAGTTGATTCCAACTCATAGCAAGCTTTCGAACAGAGTAGAACTGCCCCGTAGTGTTTCCAATGCTATAAATGCTTAGAGAAACAGACTGCCTCATCTTTCTCCCATGGAGTGGCTAGTGGTTTCAAACTGCTGACCTTTTGGTTAGCAGTTGAATGCTTTAACCACAATTCAAAGGTATCAACTCTTCTTGAGTCTTTCTTATTCATTGTCCAGCTTTCACATGCATATGAGGTGACTGAAAACACCATGGCTTAGGTTAGGGGCACCTTAGTCTTCAAAGTGACATCCTTGCTCTTCAACACTTTAAAGAGATCTTTTGCAGCAAATTTACCCACTGCAATATAGCATCTGATTTTATATATATATATATATATATATATATATATAT